ATTTGATCGTCTTCCGATCCATCAATAGCAACCGTAATTCCGCAGGATTTGAATGATCCAGCGATGAGATCCTTATCCAAATCATTCCAAGCATCGGTGATCCATTGTAAGTAGTTGTCCATTGATGGAGCTTTGATATTACCTCCTTTTGTGGTTTCCTGATCTCCATGCATCATCCAATCGTCGTAGTAGCTTCGGATTTTGGGCCTTGAAGGGATGATTCCAAACAACATCTGGTGCTTGAATAAATTTTGTGCACCCTCCTGGAATTACCGCCGAGTCCATTTTAATTGCTTTAAGTACTCGCTTCGTCGAGCTCGAAATGTGACAGCGAAAGCTGTCCCAACCCAAAAAGCACTTGAAAAGTCCAGCATGTCCAAAGGTTCTCTTGAGAAAGTCGGCCGTCAGATCATCATTCATCCATGTCGTTCGCTCCCAGACAAGATTCAATTTACCTCCAAATCGCTTTTGGATGACCGGATCAATTCGTTTCCGTGGCAAAAGAACAAAAGGCTTGCACTTGTAACCGTCGGAGCGCGCCGTAAGCATCACAGAAATTTTTGTCTTTTCATGTCCACTTGATCGAACTGAGACTTCATTTGCTCCTTTTTCATCAACACATTTTCCGCCAATTGGATCAAGGAAGACGGCCGTTTCATCACAAGCGTAGATGTGTGTGTATTTGTTCTCCTTTTGCATCCGATTGAGATACATTACGAAATTGACCAACACATCAGCATATTCGTGGGGAGGCTTCTGACAGATTGACGTTGGAGTTCTCATTGAAAATCCATGACGCTTCATGAACTTTTGAAGCCATCCCAATGAACAATCGACTTTGATATCGTTTTGCTCACAAAAACGCTTTGCTTTTCTTGGACCAAACGCCTCGAGACCTTGTTTTTCTTCTGTCGTTCGCTTCGGACCCATTCGGCAAGTTCCACGTCGAGTTGCGTATTTGTGAGGGTTCGGCCACCTCCTTTTAACCTCTTGTATGATTTCCCCATCTTTCGCAATCGTTTTTCTTGCGAAATCCATTCGCGAATCATCTTTCTGCTGACTTGAAACTTTGTGCTTGCAACATTCTTTGAGATCGTCTTTGCAAATTCAATTGTTTCTAACTTAAACTCGATCGAATATGCCTTCCGTTTGTTTCCATTCTTGAGCAGTTCCGCTTCGAGAGCCTCCAAAGCATTCTCCGAATCTTGATTCATCTCGTTTTCATTCTCCTTTTCTCGTTCCTTGAAGATTTCAAAGTCGTCTCCTTCATCTTTTCGAATATCTCGATACTCCTCCAGAGAATCCGTGCGAATTGGCAGTCGCTCAGCCATCAGCCCTGAAAATAAACACATTATTTATTTTAAGACAAGAAACAAGAATTACAAAAAACACTAGTAGGAAAGAAATAATAACTTTGCACAATGATTTTTACAAGAAAATCTGGGTGGTAGCAGGATACGGTAACATAGTGCATTTTAAGAGTTTGGGTCTTCTAATAGAGACTGGTCTTCTATTTTTCAACCTCCCTTCAAAAGGGTCTTCTATTGGAGACTGGTCTTCTAATAGAGATTGGTCTTCTATTAGAATTATTACGGTAGATTAATCTTGATGGTCAAAGATACTGTAAAGGGCAAGATAAAAGTTTTCTTCTTTCTATTTCTAAAAGTAAATTAATCTTGACGGTCAAGGATACTGTAAGATAAAAAATACAATATTTTTAAAAAACTCATTTTCTATTTTTGGATATCAAAGACGTATTTTTTGGAAAGTACGGGTTTTGAAAAAACTAAAAATACTAAAAGAAATACTAAAAAACTTTTGCGCTTATGCAACTGTACAAGAAAGGAAGGTACTATTGTAATATTGTAATATTGTAGCTATTGTAACTATTGTAATAGTACCTCCCTAGTATAGTAATAGTAATAGTAATAGTATTTACGGTATGAAATCGGCAATAGTGTCAAGCTGAGGTTCTTCAGAATTACACTTTCATCAATCTAAACCTAATTCATCATCACTCGACTCTGATCTGATGATTGGGACGAGTGCATGGCGATGAGTGCCGATTTGATTTCGTTTGACGAATTTTTGGGGAACATTACGACATTACGTCCGAAAAGTAAACGTTTTTGAGCTTTTTGTGAGCTCAAGTAAAACAAAAACATTATTGAAAAGATTTGAAATGGATTTGAAAATGTTTAACCTTAGATTTGGTGTGAATATGGGAGATCTTAACAAGATCGAGTTTTTCACCGAGCTTCTCGATTGGGCTCTCATATTTCAGCTCACCGGGGGATTCAAACGGGATTTTCAATTGGTGAGTTGAGGGGTCAGGGTTTCTAAAGCTGCTCTTACGATTATTCAAAAGCTACTCAGCCAAAAAACATCTCTTTTATGAGAGATGTGTCCGTCTGTCCGCCAGTGTGTCCAAGCCGTATCTCGCCAGCAATAGCTCGGATTGAGCTGAAAATTTAACATCAAACAGTCAACTTTTTTATTACCTTTAATATGATTACGACAGTTCTACTAAGGAGTAACTGTAGTAATGTCTAATAATAAGGTGTACTTTAAGTTCCCCAAAAATTCGTCAAACGAAATCAAATCGGCACTCATCGCCATGCACTCGTCCCAATCATCAGATCTACAGATCTACAAGAAGAGATCTTGAAGAGAGAGAAATTCTTTAAGAAAAAGATCAATTGTACCAGTTAGAGTGCTTGTTTTTAAGTGGAAATAATAGATAGCAAACTAAATAATAGATAACAAACTGAAATCACTATCATTTTGAGAATATTTCGTTTGTTTCCATATTATTGGGTCACTGTAGTTCAGGCTCAGGCTCAGGCTCAGGCTCAGGCTCAGGCTTAGGCTCAGGCTCAGGCTCAGGCTCAGGCTCAGGCTCAGGCTCAGGCTCAGGCTCAGGCTCAGGCTCAGGCTCAGGCTTAGGCTCAGGCTCAGGCTCAGGCTCAGGCTTAGGCTCAGGCTCAGGCTCAGGCTGGCATTCAGAAAAGATGGTAGCTTGGTGAGCTGTAAAGAAAAGCCAAAAACCCGATTCAAATACCCCAAAAACTTTTCCGATAGAAAAAATTCGGAAAGAAGCACCGTATTCTACAAGAATACAGTACTCTTGTCTTATAAGATATTCAGTTTTCGGATGATAACGAAGTCATGGAATAAGGCGATTAAAATTATTCATTTTATCTACAAAAGGCTATTAATACCAGGGAAAAACTGAAGAATAAATGTTAATTGATTAGTAGAATTGATTTGCCAGAAAAAGACAGCCGGAATACGGTAGCTTTTCAATGTACTTTTAAACAAAATGGACAAATTTTAGTCAAGTTTTCAATGTTAGTTTCTTTTTTCATTCAAATTTCAGGACTTTAGCTGAATATCTTTTATTATTGAGCCTGCTAAAATCAATAATTTTATTCTTTTCCTTTCACTTCCTTCTTTCATTTTTCATTCATTTCCCTAAAAACTGATAAAAGGGGTGCTTTGTGTTGCGCAAATTTATCCACTTTTCATTTCAAATATTTGGCTTTTCTTTCGACTTCTTTTCATTATTTTAAAGTCGAAAAATTAGCATTTAAAAACTTTACATTGAATTGACTTTTACATTGAAATTTTATCATTTTTGCATTAGCTAATGGACGACGAATCAGGAATTTCGCGGCTTTACGACGAAAATTTGGCGTTTAGAAAAGGTGAAAATTGCCTAATGTACTTTGATTTTAAGGCTATTTTAAAAAAATAAAATGTTTAGAAAATAAATATTTAAAATTTAAATGTATATAAAAATTAGCATTTAGATAATGAATCGATGGAAAATGAATCGAAAAATGAATCGATTCAGCCTCAAAAAGCGCAAGTCGCCGAAGAAGAGGATCTTTCTCAGTAAAAAAAACTTTATAAAGTAGCATATTTTCAGGATTTTCTAAAAGGTGAATGATTTGGAAAGCTGGAAAGCTATCGTTCTATTCTTTCAGCCATTCTTTCAGCTATTCTTTCAGCCATTCTTTCAGCTATTCTTTCAGCCATTCTTTCAGCCATTCTTTCAGCTATTCTTTCAGCTATTCTTTCAGCTATTCTTTCAGCTATTCTTTCAGATTTTGTCCATTCTACTTAGTCACCTTTTAGAAAATGGATTGCTCGCTGAAAAGCTAATGAGTTTTAGTTACGACTACCCGCTATCGAGATCCATTGTGCCTGGGAGCATGCCTTCTTTACCCAGATCGTCACCACCAACTCAATTTTGTGAGCAAGGTTTGTTTGGGAGAAGAATGTCTTTCTAAAAGACACCTATTTTTGACAAACTACCGTAATCAGTTTCATTTGATTAGTTTAATTTTGAAAAAAACGGATTGTTAAAAGAGTATATTGTGCTTGATTGCTTTCCTAAACGATTACGGTAGTTTTAGACACGTTTTAGGAAACACATCAACTAGAGATTTCGTGTGTTTCTCTTGAGTAAAGCGTTCTCTAAAAGGCACCAGAAAACTACTGTAATCCGTACCGTCAGTTTCCATTTGATCAACTTTGATTCTGAACAAATCTGATTTGATTCTGATCAACTCTGATTTAATCCATTTGATCAACTTTGATTCTGATAACTTGATCCATTTGATCAACTCTGATTTAATCCATTTGATCAACTCAATTTTGGTATCATTCGATAAGAAATCACAAGCCTCATTCAATGATACCAAAAATTGGGCTGATTCGATGAAAACTGATAGGTTGATTATAGCTATGCATCAGATTTGGGAATTTGAGCATAAAATACACCAAAAACAAGTTCAAAAGTGAAAAATTCGCTTCAAAAGAGGAGTCAAAATTGAGAAGAAAAGTTTGAAATGAAAATCTGCGATAATCAATTTGCATTTAAGCGATCGGCGCAAAAAGTACAATTTGCATTTAAGCGCCAAATATAAGAGAAAAATTTCCCTTTCAAGTATCATTTGTTAACCTTCACACCGGAGTCGAGCAACGACACAAGGATGACCAGCGAAGACGAATCCTGGTACGCGGAGGTCGGCATCAAACCGGTAAGCAATTTTTTTACTCGTTCTGGTGGCATTTTGCGATTTTGGCTATTTTGGCATCAAAAGGCGTAAACTGTCGCTCGCTTTGCAAAACTTTATGAAAGCCTATATTGTGTTATTGTTTTTAAAGTTTACTTGTGTTTTACTTGTAAATTTATTTTTGAAAAGAGCTAATGCCAGATAAAAAGCATTATTGCGTTAAAACTGGTCATATTTTTTGTGCTTTGACCAGCTAAAGCTAATAGCGGCAATGTTTAAGGCGCGGATTTTTGTTATTAATGTTTTACATAGTTCTTTTTCCCTTTCAGGGAGCAATTCTCGAGGGCGGAAAGTCGACCTACATCATCGACAGATTACTCGGCGAGGGAGGCTTTGGAGCGGTGTTCAAGGTAAATCTTGTGTTTAGCTGAAGTTAAAAATCTTATTCCTTGCCATTGTTTGATTTGGTGTAAATATTTACTTGATTTGATCGTGATCTCGAATAATTATCATTGTCTTTATTCTTTTCATTTTATTATCATCATATCATTATCATTTCTTTAGATTTACGACAAGAACGATTCGAAGTTGTGCTACGCGATGAAAATCGAGAAGAAGATTGAGAACAAGATTCATTCGAAGCTGAAAATGGAGGTATTTGTGTACATTTCATTCATTATTCAGTTTCCTTTTTTAGATAAGCATCCTCAAGATGGTGGCCAATGTGCGAAAAGGACCAAGCGAGCGCAATCACTTCACGGCGATTATCGACCGCGGAAAGAAGGAATACTACTACTTTCTCATCATGCAACTCGTCGGCAAATCGCTGCAGGATCTCAAGAAAGAACGCCCTATGAATGTGCGTGTTTGTTTGAATTGTCGATTTGCGGTAATTTGGTTGTAGAAGTGCAATTGTTGCAAGTTAATGGTTGCAATTGTTCAATGTTTAAGCTTAATGGTTGTTTGTTGTTGTTTTGTTTTGTCTGCTGTTTGTTTGTTGGATAATTTATCCAATATATAGATGAGTTTTAGCTTGTTTAACGTGTCACCATAATGTAAATGTTAATTAAGTAGATGAAAGCTTTACATTTAATATTGTCCTTCTTTTAGGTTTTCTCCTTGAGTACGGGACTTGGTGTCGGAATGCAGTGCCTTGAAGCGGTCGAGGACCTTCATAAACATGCTTTCATTCATCGGTTCGTTTCTTTGAATGTTCTAGTATCAATGGTTTAGAGCTTAAAAGTGTTTTGTGGCGAATTGAGTCTTGAGGATTTTAAAACAACTCCATTCTTCTCTACTTTTTATTTTTAGTGACTTAAAGCCGGCAAACTACGCATGTGGTTTGGACAAGCAAATGCACACGGTCTACATCCTCGACTTCGGAATTGCTCGCAAGTACACAAATGACAAGGTAATGGATTTGATTTAACCTTAATTGTATTTTAACACTTTAAATGTGACTTTTCTTATTTTCAGGGTGAATTGAAGACACCACGTGCTAAGGTTCGCTTCAAGGGAACGGTGCGTTTTGCCTCGCTGGCTTGTCATCGATGCATTGAGATGTCGGTGAAAGACGATGTGGAGTCGTGGTTCTACCTGCTGTTGGATCTCATCGTCAAGGAAGGTAATTGATTTTGGATTTGAGCAATTCGCCTTACCGTAAAAGCTCTAGTAGAAAAACCCCCCTATAGGAGCGTCGCGTCGTCTATGTTTACTCTTCAACAAACGCTCATATCTTGACACCAGTACGTTTGTTTCTGCACGCTTAGATATCAAATTAAAGTAGAGAAAATGGGTGATTTTTTGAGATATAGCACATATTTTTAGCATTAACCAATACTTTAAAAAATGATGAAATTCGGCTTTTTTTAGCCACTTTTCAATCATTTTTTTTCTAAGTGCTGGCTAATCCTAAAAATATGTGCTATATCTCAAAAAACACCCATTCTCTCGACTTTAATTTAATATCTAAGCGTACAGAAACAAACGTACTGGTCTCGAGATATCAGCGTTTGAGAGTAAACTTAGACTATGCGACGCTCCTATACGGGGCTCTTTTATTAGAGCTTTTACGGTATCTCTTTTCTTGAAGTCTCTTTTTCACTGATATTTATTTTTTTGTTTAGGTCTCCCTTGGAAGAACATTCAAGATAGGAACGATGTACAAAAGCTCAAAGAGGAATTCCGGGAGAAGAGAGATCTCTACGGAACGCTCAAGTGCAAGAATGTAAGTGATTCTTTGCAATCTCTTGGCAAAAATTCAAATTGCTGATTCTGCAGCTAGATTTGACTTGATCAATGGTTTTCCTTTAGGACTATCAGGATATTCTCACCTACATCGATCGTCTCGAGTACACCGATCATGTCGATTATCAATTCATCTACAAGAAGATCAAACTGGTAGGGTTTTCTATTTTTGTAGCGTTTGCGCTTAGCTGCCTTGGGGATTATTAGATGGTTTATTTGATGGTTTATTTGATTGATACATTTACTTTCTCATTTTAGATCGCTGCCCAGCAGAGCATCAACATCGACGGTCCGTACGATTTCGAGAAGCCTTCAAAGAAGTGAATAGCGCCAATGGAGAACGCAAAAAAAATTCGCTAATGGAAACAAATACAAAGTGCACTTTATTATTTGTGAACGTGAATAAATGAAAACGATTGTATAGCTTTGTCGTTGATACTTTTCATGATTGTGCTGTTGATGATGTACTTTTCATTTTTTTCTATTTTACTGACGTGGAGATAAGCAAAGATAGAATTGCTAGACCAATAGATGAAAATAGATAAATTTAATGGAATATCAGCAATAAGTGAAAACATTAAGTAAAGCATTTCTACTAGAATCGGGCATTGATTGCAAAATCTTGCAGAGACTGGTGCTTTTTGGAAAACGATTGTTGATTACATTGGAATTTTGAAAGTTTTTAGCGTCGACGAGTCTCGCCGACACCGATTTTGCAGAGATTTTGAAAGAAACTCACCACAAAGCCTCCGTGTTTCAAGCGCTTGTCCAAGTAAGGGGGGAAATTGTTTACTATAATTTTACCCATTCTTTAGATTGCTTTAGACGAAGGTTGTACAGTAAAGGAAATGATTCACGATTTTGAGAGACATTTTGAAGAGATTGGAGAGTGGTTGAAAGCAAAGAAAGTAGCTGAGGATGAGATGAAGAAATTTTTGTCAATGTTCAAAGATTCATGCGACCAGATTCTTTGGCTCAATACTGGATATCATTTGGATTATCGTGAGGTTTGAATGAAAGGAAAAAAAATTATTTCAATTCAATTTTAGAAAGAAGAACTGAATGTGGAGACACTACGAAAGAGACTATTGACGGTTAAAAAGGTGAGCGGCTACAGTAAATCCGTTTTCTAAACCTTTTCCCCTTTCTCTTTCGATCGTAATCTTGTCTCTATTTTTTAGCCAATCTTGAATCTCTACTTTTGAAGTATCACGGTACTTTTACTTAGAGTTCGGCAAACAAAACCAAAAACAAAACAGACCAAAACCAAAACACCAAAACAAACCAAAACTCAATTTGCATATAAATTAACATGTAAATTTAAAATTGTAAAATGCAAATTAGCCTTTCACTTTTTCTCACTCCACAAAATCTCGCGGCCGAAAAAAGGACCAAAACACGACCTCGAAATTTCGAAACAAAAAATAGCCTATGGGATAGATTTTTGGATGCTGATTTCAAATCTGCAAACAGATTTTCGCTAGCTCCTCCCAGTCGCGAGATATTGGCGAGTTTTGGTTAGTTTTGGTTTTGGTTTTAGTTTGTTTTGGTTTTGGTTTTGGTTAAGTTTTGTTTTCCGAAGTCTACTTTTACTACTTTTAAGCCATCAACCAGTTGGTTTCAAGCTGATCAGATGGAAATCAACTATGAAAAAGCTGAGGAATTGTTCAGGATGAATTTGAAAGAGGTTTTTATGCACTATGTGCCCAAACTTGTAAACCCATCCTTTCTAGCGCACTCAACTGCCAAAGTGTGCCAGAAGGGTTGCGTTTTCAGTTTTGCACACAAAGTACGATATATTTGTTCAAATTTTAGCAAATGGACGGCTATCCAGAAGTAAAGGAAGAATTTCTCACCTCGCTTATTGATTTCGAGAAATCTCTTCGGAAAATGTTTGAGCAGAGTCTGAGAAAGTATGATGTGAAAAATGGTTTGCAAAAGTTGATCAATGATCGCTCGGTCGAGTTGTGGATGGATTTCATTGTCGAGAAAACGACGGTATTTTCGTTTTTTCTACACTAATAGACAAATGAATAGATCAGCTACCGTAACTCAACCTAGATCTCTATATATCCGAATGGTTTTGGCAACTGTTTACTTTAACAACTTCAGAAACTTCAGAAAACCGCTCAAATCACCGATCCGCTCACTCATTTCACTCTGATTCAAGAAGCTCTTCAACTTGATTGTGATGAAGAGAAAACAAAGGAATTTCTGAAATCATTGCATGAGAAATTCCTTGACGGATCTAGTTATTTAAATATTGATAGATTGGATAAAAATTAGACAAGGTTACGGTCGAAAGAGAAAAGGGAGACGTTTTATGAAATAAATATTCAAAAAACTTTGAAAAAAACTAATCGAAATTCTTTCTTTTCCCAGCTCTTCAATGATTTGGGGGGTTTGGTTGAGGGTAAAATTTACCTTTAAAAATCGCGCAACACATTTGCTTCTTTATCATGATAAATTCTATGTCATTAACTATCAATTAATTTATTTTTTATCAAAAAAAAACATAAAAAACCATAAATTTTTTACCCATTAAAGCAAATTTCATCAAATTTTTGTATTAATAAAAATTGAAAAGTTATTAGAAATTAGAAATTCTTGGTGATCTAAAAGTTTGTTTTAAGTTTTTAGATCAAGAATTTCTAAATATGACAAAAATTGATAAAGGAAATATGGAAGGAACTTGCTGATATCAAAAAGATATTTTCACGGAAGTGGGACAAATGCGACCTTTTTTTTGCGCACCCGGACATTTGCGCACCTTTTCTCCGCACCTTGCCCATTAGCGCACCTTTTTTCGCGTTTTAAAAAAGCAAAAAAGCTCTAAAAAGCTAATATTAACCAATTTCTATTCCAAAAGTTGTTTTTCTAGGTAATTTGAGGGTGTCGAATTCAAATTTTGACATAACAGAGCGTGTGGAACCAATTTGAAAGACCAATTTGAAAGACAAAACGGCTAGATCAAATTACAGAAAATTGTCGATTTCTCTCTTTGTATAGCTCCGTCCGTTTGTTTCCACAAGCTCTGGTATGTCAAAATTTCGATTCTACGCCCTAAAATTACCTAGAAAATAGAAAAACAACTTTTGAAATGGAAATTGGTTAATATTAGCTTTTTAGAGCTTTTTTAAAACGCGAAAAAAGGTGCGCTAATGGGCTAAGTGCGGAAAAAAAGGTGCGCAAATGTCCGGGTGCGCAAAAAAGGTCACATTTGTCCCACTCCCGTTTTCACCCCAGAAAATGGGTACTTTTATGTTGCCCTTTACAGTATCTTTGTCCCTCAAGGTTACGGTACTTTTAAAAATATTCAGTTATCCACTTTTTGAATTGGAACCATTTTAGGTCATGGTTGGCTTAAAAGCGGCTTGCTAAAGCCCCCGAGCAAGTGGTCCTGTGGTGTAGTGGTTATCACGTGCCCTTCACACGGGCAAGGTCGCCGGTTCGATCCCGGCCAGGACCTATCTTTTGGATTTTTCTAGAAATCTAGAAAACAGTATCAAAAGCTTTAGAGTTGAATTAAAGGTACTGCCTATGAGTACCAAAAAGCTAAAGACTGATCGTAAAGGACCAAAATGTTACCATTATTAATCTAGAGTGCACCAATTTACTTGATTAATGCAAATTGCGATCGCTTTCTTCCTTGACGAAGTTGGAGAAATCAGGGCCGAAAATGATCAGTATCATTTTAATCTTCATTTTTTTAAGTGACCATTTCATTCGACACATCTTTCTGATTTTCGACACGAACGGAGGTTGATGGCTCTCAAGCTAAAGCTCAAGGACATCCGTGTTGAGGGGAGAAGTTGCATATTTCGAAATTGTGACTTTCTCTTGACTTTCTATGGTTATTAGCAAAAACCTTTTACTTTACAGATTAAGCTTTTATCGTCCCTAATAAAGAGCCAATCATTTTCGCAAAACTCCATTCCTTGTCGTGTTTTCGTTTCTCTCGATCTCGCCAACAGAACATTTTCTGCTTCTAAAATTATTTTATTGCGTTTATTTCGAAGTTCTGAATGAGGTAATGACAATTAAGCGATCAGAAGAGTTTTGAGTTTTCGGTGAATAAATCATATGACCCAGTTCCTCTCAGTGACAAGATAAAATGTGTAAACCGAAAGGACAGAATATCTTTTAATTCAGTAAAGCACTTTAAAAGTGTTCAATCTAAAGAAAAAAACGGTATCAACACCGAATAATTCTTGTAAATTACCTATTTATACTTTGTTATCAAAAATCGGGAGTTAAATGCAAATTTGAGTTGAACAAAGCCACAAGTACCGCAAATTGAATCTGGGATTTCTGAATGAAATCAAATTTTCAAAAAATCTGCTCAGAAACTCCCAATCATTCACGGTCTCTCAGAGGCCAGGACACTATAGATTACTGGGAAGTCATCATTGCCATGACCACGAGCGGGATCGAACCCGGGTTGCCGAGAGCGAGAGGCGAACGCCCTAACCACTCGGCCACGCAAAGCCAGAGAGGGGGAGGGTCAAAGAGCTCTAAATCATTGGTTCGCTTTGTGAAATTGAATGCTTTAAGCTGTTTTTCTTCATTTTTGCTTAAAAATTTATTTGCCTCATACAATTGTTAAGGTTTATTGGATATGATTCAAAAACAACAATCACATACTCGCCAATCAATCAAAAAATGACAAACGCGACAAAACCGGGAGTCAATTACCAAAAGAACATATAAAAGAGTACCAGAATCACCGAGAACCCATATGTTTGGCTTAGAACACCCAAATGGACAACGAAATAAATACAATGAGAGAAACACAATATAAAAATGGGTACGTCTGCATTAGATCCTTCAGTCTGTGCCTAATTCGATAGTTTAGACTCTATCAAAGCCACAAAATGTGTCTTAATGGGGATTAATGCACAAATACCTAAAATGTTATGCTAAATGTTATAAGGTCCTTGAATAAAAGCAAACAATGTTTAGATTTCTTAGGCGGCCATTTGTCGAAGTTTTCGTAATCGTTCCTCGAGTGACATTTGTGCGGGTGTTCGGGGTTCCACTTCGGAATCTTCTTGGCTCAATCCGAGACGATTTTGAGGTACCGAGGGGAGATCCAACTAAAAGGGAAGTGTAACAGATTTTTAAGCCAAAAATGTAACTTTTCCTATTAATCAATTCAAAAAATACCTCTCTAATGGGTTTCTCGGGTGTCTTCTGACCCGACATGAGCTCCTCCAATTCCCGCTCAAGCTCTTCGTCTTGCACTCCGGCTCTTATCTAAAATGGCTGTTAAAGCAAAAGTAAATTCCAACTCACTCCAGCGATTCCTTGACTCATCGCATCAGTAATATCATGGAATTCCTCAGCAGCCTCTTGTACTTCATCCATCGTTGCATCGATCTAAATAATTTGAGGTACTAATAAGCAAATTTTTCCTGAAAACCAACCTTTTCTGGGGAAAGACCGTGTCGTTCCAAATTTGCCTTGAAAGCGCTCGTGCCCGCCTTGTAGGCTTGAAGAACATCCTTGTTATGCTGAACAAAATTGTGATTGCAAATAAAATTTCATACCTTTGTGCTGCCAATTTGATGAAGCATCGAGAGTAGTTTACTGTATTGAACATCTTTATCGGCCAAACTTTTATCGGCTTGTTTCTTTTGCCGTAAAAGATTGGTGGCCTTCACTTTCTCACCACTGCGCAACGCTGCTCGAGTGTCTTGGTCCAATCTGGAAAAGAAAATACTTTAGCATCACAGTCTACAAATTTTGACAAACACTTACAAAAATTACATACATCTTTATCTTAAAAATGTTCATAATGTTTAAAAACAAACTTTTTAGCTTTAGCCTCGAGCGCCGAAATCTCCTTATCGAGGCGAAGCATTGCCTTTCTAATGTCGTGAACCGACGCATCGGCTTCAGTGAAACGAGCTGGTCCACTATCGCGACGACCCTAAAAATACTCATAGGTTTCTAAATTTTTAAATTGATTTTACCTTAAATTTGAGAACTTTCTCTCCATTCCGCGCATTGCCCACCATCACATCGCCACTGTCCGATAAGAATTGGAGAACGATTTCGAAGTTTTCCTGAAGGAATTGATTGAAAAACCGTAAGAAACTAGCCGGTTATGCCTCGAGCCGGATAGCAAATCAGCCAATCCTCTATTTAATACCTCTGAATCGACGACACTGCCAGCGCGTTCAAAAAGATCTGTCCAAGCGACGACTTCACCAGTACAATCGACTTCATCGCCAAATTCTCGGCTGTAGAGTTCCAGAAGATCTTCAGCTTGTTTCTAATAATAAGGTTTAGCCAGCAAGTATCTTTCAAAATCTATCTACCTTAACAGTTGGAAGATGCAGATAGCGTTGGCCCGGCTCACTTGCGCCCATAAACCAGCTCCCAGTGCGCATCATCTTGCTGAACTAAAAACAACCAACACAATTGCCAAACGATACACAAAGTTTTTCAAAGTTTCAAAAACTTACTCCCCATCCAAGCCACGATGAATGTTTTTCTTTCCATTCGTCCAATGTGATAATATCGCCAGTGCTAAAGTTGTTTTAGAGTTGAAATTTGAAAATCGTTACTTGATCATATCCTCAATGACAATAGGAAGACTTGACGGCACAAGGTCACCTCTACGAAATCTAAAAGCAAAAAAGCATAAAAAATTTAATTATTACGTCAAGCTAACATAGTCTTTTACACAAAGTATCTGCTTTATCTCAATCTTTTCATAAATTTTATTTTAAAACAACCTTTTCTTTAGCGAATCAACAGTTAATAAAGCGTCCTTTTCTCCATAACATCCGCTTTCGATCATCCCACGCCAAAAACGAATTTTTCGATCGTAGTCCACCGAATTCACTTGTCGAGACTAAAAATTAACTGTAGAATGTTCGAAAAACCTAATTTACGCTGAACTAACGCTTTTAAATTTGAGAAACGTAAACGATTTCACAAAGTTCCTTTACTAATGCCCATTAAAAATGCCCGTATTATGTCATTTCCACCAAAGAACATAAAAAAAACCTTTATCATTGACATCAGTCCGGACATCTCCATGTCATCGTTCCACGTGGCTGGATAATACTTCTTCGGGCTCATCTAAAGCAGGGAAATGGTTTTTTTAAATCGAAATATTAGAAAAGGGATAGAAAATTTCTATAAAACTGTAGGTGTTTTGAACTATGAAAAAGGGGGAACACTTTAAAATAGCAACAACATCGAAAAACTGTGAACGGTAAAAAGGGGAGGGAAATGGAGATTAGGAGAGGAATGAAATTGCCAAAGGAAATACACCGTCAAATAGTACTGTTTTTATTTTCTATAAAACACTTAATCTTGTCGAGATGGTTACTGCATTTCTGACTTCTATAAAGGAAAAGCAAAGGTAAGAGGTTTTTCATTCATTTCCTTCTTGTCAGGTGTTACCTGACATTTTGATACATTTTGACCCATAACTCAAATTTTTTCTTTGTCGCTTCACATTATTTCTTACAACTCTATATTTAAACTTTAGAGACGATGAGCCGGAAATCGCCTACTGTGCAACGCGTCGAGAAGAAGATAGCCGATCACAAGTCGCTCCTCAAATCGATCAACAATGGCCTCGCGAAGATTAGATGGGCGTTTCAAACGCCAGACTGGGAATCGAACAAGGAGAAAGTCACTTTGGAAGCGGTCCTCAAGAAAGGAAAGTGCGATAAATACATTCAATCGTGGCTCGATCATCACGTGAGTGCTCTATACTTTTGATTCTTTCATTTTTATTTTTTTAGGACACGTTCATTTTGCGTTCAGATGGCCCCACTCCTCCAATAGAGTATGTTTTTTTTGATTTTAAACGCAACAATAATTTATTTTAGTTCCGACAAACGTCCGCCGCTCTTGTTCACAAGTTGGAATCGCTTTTTTGAGAAGAATCAACAAATCGAGTGGCTTGAGCAACGGGCGTCTAGCAAATTCAAAGCTGAATCTCCAGAATCTGAAGTAAATATTTAGTTTTGCAAAGTTTACTTTTGATTTCTAGGACGCGACTTGCTCGGAACCGAATGTTACCATTGAAGAAACGAGTGCACCTGTAGACACGGGTTCAAGTGGATCCGATGGAAAATCGGTTTGTTTCCATTTCTCAATTTAAATTCTCAATCCTTCAGATCTCTGGCTACAGCGTGAATTTGGACGCGTGTGAACCACATTGGACCACCGGAATTGTCTTACTTTTGGACGACTACGACACGCGTAAACCCACAGTTAGGGTGGGTTTTAATTATCTAAGCTAAAAAATCTTTTTCTCAGATCAAGTACTTCGACCGTCGTATCGGTTCAATCGTTGCTCGTATTTTGCCCAAAGATAGCGTTGTCACTGCTCCTGGAGAACGATTTAGATGGGGTTATCGTCACAATGAATTCATTGTAAGCTTCTGAATAGTTAACTTGTAATAAATTTGATTTAGGCAATAAGTGCTTGCCCAGAAAAGGACCACTCTACATCATATTCACACCATGTTACTCGAAAATCTGTTCAAGTGACTGTTTTGGGGATCTGCAGGTTGGATTTTGTCTGAATTTTCGTAACTTTCGAAGTTTTAGGTACAGCAAGGGAAATCCGGAAGACTTTGCAAGATCATCACAAGAGCAGTTGGACGTTTGGTAACGGATATTATTATTATTACATTAGCTACAACGTATTTATGTTTAGGACTGATGAATTTGGTCTTCTATCGGTTCCATTAAGGCTCATCAAGCGGCGCGAGTTTGAGGTATATTTATATAAATAAAACGTTTACCCAGTTTTTTAGATGATCCCAGGCAAGGCTTTGAAAGAATGCAAGTTGACGCTGGAAATTCGCTACCAAAACTGGAAGTCCCCCGACATCATCATTGTAAGCATCTCATTCTTCATGGTTTGTTAAGTTTTTTGCTGATTAATCCTTTTTATAGTTGAAAGACGAAGATATATTCACCATCAAGGATCTAATGCGCTTTGACGATCTAACGTTGCCGAGAATGGAAGTTAGAGACGGAAAAGTACGTTTGTTAGTTTGGTAAATTACGAATGTTTATTCTAGAAGTTGTATCGTTTCAAGTCCCGCACTTTTCCATCAATTTGTCTCTGGGGAGCACTACCAGAATGTCAAGAGGGCCTTGATGCAATGTAAGAATTCAAAAACTATTTCAAATGAGATATTTTAGAGAATGTGCGGACAAGCAGGAAAATCACTTTGGCGAAAGAGAGTCCGACTTTCATGTGAGTTTCTGGACTTTGATAGTAAAATTTCTCTTTACAGGGTGTTTTCTATCCGAGCTCTTCAAGGAAAGCCTATTATTACGCCCTCGTGGCTGGCACGGAGAAATGGGTTGATGAGGTATGGCTTAAACATACAAATAAATATTCTTAAGTTCATCATACGTACAAGGGACGACACTCAGTTATTTTTTAGCAATCTGATGGTCGAATATACGATATTCCCTCAAGCACTCGATTGACCGTCTCGCGAAGGATTGCATTCAAATGAACTTCACCACACGGGAGAATATTAACAAATGAAAGTTACGATTTTTTCATCTATTTTGTCTTTTTTTGTTCGATTTAAATTGTTATTCTTGTTGTTTTGAACCCTTAATTGTTCGATCTTGAGCTTTTTCGTCATCTTTTCTAGTCAAACGTTAGTCATAATCTGTTATCATTGTGTTTCTTTCTAAGTCACTGTTTCGCTTGTTGTGTTGTAGCTGTGTAACCTTTCAATTTCCTGAAACCAATAAACCTTGTTATTAATACTGGATTGCAAAAGTGAAAGCGTTTTCTGTCTGCGAAATAATTATCTACAACAATTCGGTTCTTGAACGATTTGACTATGGTTTTAAACTTTCTGGAGGGCTCTCTGTACGTGTTCAATTACCAGTCTTGTTACTTTTTCAGCAATCTACTAACTTAAAATTCGAAGATCTGCTAGTTTCATATTCAAACACCTGTCAACAAATGTGGGGCTAACTTTAAATGAGTGTTTTTAGATGTCCGACGTTGAAGAAGTTGATCTCGTTGACTTTGATGCCATCAAGCTTCAATTTCCATTTTCCAAAGTTTTTTTTAAAAGCATTCATGTACCCGTTAACTATTTAGATTCGAGGCATCTGCCAACTTGATCCCGATTTAGATGGAATATCAGCTGAAGCTGTAAAGTTGATAGGCAAAGCAACGGTAAGGCTGTTTATTGGAGAAGATTTAATTTTTATAGGAATACTTTATCGAGGAATTGGCGACGGCTTCGTACACACAAGCGATCCTCGAGAAAAGAAAGACGGTCAACAAAAAGGATATTGGTATAACTCATTAAAATTTGAATATAAATTTCTTTTAGATAAAGTCATTGAAATTGACCCAACTTTCGAATTCCTCGAGGATGCTTTGGATGAGTGGTTAGAAGACGTTTTGGATAAAACAACTGAGGTTGGAGGTTTTTAACTGGCTATTCGAAGTATGTATTTAGGAAGATAAGGAAAATGAAGAAATGACAGCGCCAAATGAGGCAAGTTTTACACTGATTATTCGATCGTTGATTGCAAAAACTTAGACTTTTGTAAACAGCTTTTTTTAGACTGATGAAGTAATGGATGAGATGGTTCCCCTACCCGCCACGATAAACCCGAATTCACACGTTGAGGAACTTTTTTGACCGGTACACGTCAATTTAATGCTTTGGATGTTGTGTATAGAAATTTTATTCGAGTAGATTCACAATTTACACTTTCCGAATTTAGTCCTTCTTGGTTTTTGCTTTACCAAAAATTTTCGAAGTCAGCTTTTTAAACATAAATATTATCAAGCCAGCAATTGAGAGAAGCGCTAGAACAATCAGGAAAATGACATCAAGGAGGAAATATTCAATGAAGGAAAGGTTTCTTCCGTGGGGATCCAATTGTGGAAGTGGACCAAATCTGGAAAATTAGGCTTTGAATGACCAGAGGTTTGCTAAACTAGCAGACTTTATTGTCCGCTATCTACACTTTAGGAAGTTATGGGCACAACAAAAACTTTAGATCCAAAGAGTTTTACCTACCTTGTCACAAATTCCATATTTCGAAGCAGCAGCTCTTTCGGAGAAAACGGTGTATTCTTTAGCAATTCCGACAGTCTCTTCGCTTTTTGGGAGTAGCTGAAGTTTGTTGATAAGAATTTGATGTCCATCGATGTTTGTGGATTAACTGTAGTTTATCAAACCTCTGGTCATCAAGCATATTTTTCACCATTTCTCCCAGCTTTTCTGGGTTCTTTATGTCAAATTTGCTGAAGATTTTCGCGATTCCCTGTCGGAATAGGGTCAATCCGTTTCGAGATTGGTCGGCGAAAAGAGGAATCACCACAACTGGGACACCACTAAAATTTCGATAACGGTGAAACTAATGGATAAAATTCAGTTTAGTTTAGTGCTTAATATGAATTCATTGTAGCCTACCTGAAAGCGATTTCCGTGGTACTGGCAAGACCTCCGTGTGTGATGAAAAGACTCAAACGGGGATCAGCTGAAATTTTTTTTTATTTTAGGATGCCTACCCGAGTCGGCAAAAGCTTGTAAGTTCTAAGATTTTACCGAGTAAATCGGTTTGTGGTGTCCACTTTGAGAGCATCAGATTCTCGGGTGCTTCGTCGTTTAAATCGTCATCCTCGTACTTCCAAATGAATTGAACATCTGAAAAATGGATTTTTGTTTTTTTTTGAAATGAGCATTCTTGAAAGCTTTTTGATGTACCTGGCATAGTGGTGACCATTTTGAGAATCGATTTCTTGTTCTCGTCGGGCATTTCCACTGATTTTGCCACTGATCCGAATGAGATTAAAACGGTGCGCTTCTTTTTGTTCAAAATAGTGTCCCATTCCTGGAAAATGGTTAAGGTAAGGTCTTTTTTAAATGCAACAAAATCTTGACCTTGCTCAACTTTTTCGGCGTTTTAATGTGTATCCCGCCGATTGGGACAACTTTGTGAATGGTTGGGGCGGGGAAATCGACGAAAGGATTCGAATTGGTAAAGAGTAGCGCACTTTGAGAGATGGTTTCCTAAAAGAAAAAGACATACTTCAGGAATTTTTTCTCAAACCCTGGTCGATGCAAAGTTTTCGCCGAAATTCTTGCGAAACATTGCCGTTTGTTTGTCGGCGATCTCGAGGAAAAGAGCGGCACCAAAGTAGGAACCGATGGCGTTTCCGGCACGCTCGAGAAGCGACATCTTCTCTAGGGAATTCCCGATTCCACCTAGGATTGGTTACCGTACATAGGACTGGCACGTACTGGATGTAGTATTGGATTATATTCATTTCAAGTAATACGTTTTACTGTAGAAAGAGAAAGGTTTAGAAAACGGAACAGAAGAAAAGGGCAGGGAGAAATTATGGCACGAATCTATCATCTTGATCAATATGGTAGCTAGAATCCTGCTAATTAGTGTACTGTAGCCTCTATTTATCTATCGATTACTCGGCTAATCTATTTAGCTATCGATTATTGAGATCTATTTAACTATCCATTACTCGGCTAACCTTTTTAGCTATACTATTGAGATACTGACACGTATATCAATGCGTTCTAGCAGGATCCTACAGTACTTGTAGCTTTTATCCACTCAGATTTACATAATGACAATGAAAAGTGCATTGGGTAAACTAATCTAGATTTAGATGCAATGAAGGATAGATTTGCCAAAATAACCACAAGTATCGAGATTACGTAACAATAACTTTCAAATCTTTTTCCATCAACTGGCGGCTCCCATAGCTGACTGGCTAAGTCCGCTGTCTCTTAGTCGGGAGATCAAGGGTTCGGTCCCGGCTAGATCATTGGTGCTTCTTTTTTTTAGACCTATGAGTTTCTTTTTTTCTCTACATATAGCAGGGGTTGTGCTCGTGTAGTGTTTCTACCACAATCGTGTGATCGGTTGTGCTTGTGTAGTGTTTCTACCACGTTTTTTTACCTGGTACATAACTCGGCACCCTTGGCACTCCCAATAGAATAGCTTGATGATCCATTAGATTGCTGCTCGACGCACTGATAATCGTCTTTAGGCCAAGAGCGGCAAAGATTCCTGGAAATCGAAAGCTCTAAGGCATTAAATTTCAATTTTCTTGTCCTACCATGTCCACACGTGCAGAAAGCTTCACTCAGTCCAATATCGAACGTTTTTTGTTTCAATTTCGCGATTAAATCCGTATTCTCAATAAGGTTTTCGCAGTTTTTCACAAACATTTTTGTCATGTTTTCCGCTTGCTGAAAAAAAAAGGCTTTGAAAAACGGAAAACTTCAATTTATGGCAAAAAATTAAGTCAGAGCTGTTAAGCTAACTTTCCAGCTTGTGCCGGCTTTTTTAAAGCTTACCCTCGCCATACTCATTGCACTCATATCCACGTACCACATCCTCCCCAAAAAACCGTCTTTCGTGTGAGCTTCCTCCTTGAAATTCTGATTTCTTTCCTCAATTTCCTCAACTCACAAACAATCGTAGAACTTCTATGTGTGCTGGAAACTCGTAAATATTCTCCTTTTTTGTTTTCGTATCGAATTCGAGACTTGATTCGAATTGTGGCCGGATTTCGGTCTGAAAACGACGTGCAAATGTTGAGAGCTGTGGTCAGCATAGTCGAACATTATTTAAAAAGAAAAGCAATCTCTTATGAGTTCGGAATACGAAACATGATCGTCAGCGGGATTCAAACCGATTGCGACCTCTCGCTTATCAGGCGAGAGCTCTACCAATGAGCTACACCGAAATGAGCTACACGGCAGGATAGTGTCTTATGTTTTATTTGACTTCTGCTTTAAATTAACGCAGATTGGCTACAAAATTGGCTATCCTTCGCTGGGTTAGCCCAGAACTAATAGCTTTCCTCTTGCACTCACAATTTCGTGTCCAGCTTCCATCAGCATATCGCCTAACATACTCATAAATCGCATATGACTGTGCCCGAAGCCCGGATTGTAGAGAAGGATCCGCGCCGAGTCGACGAAAGATAAGAAAACGATGGAGAGGGAAATCACCAGCATTCTAAATCAAAAGGAAAACTATTCGATGTATAGATTAAAGAAAAGAAAAGTAGCTTTTAAAAATTTGACTATTCATCAATGAAAAGCTGATACCGAATTTTTTTCTAATAGTAGTGCACCCCAGTGAGCCGAGTTGATGACTATTTTACGGCTTCAAAGCTTTTGCAGAAGCTCAACACTCAAATCCTCCACTAGATCTCATCATCAGCTACATTTTCCGACCCCACATTGATAGGTTCTGATAAGCGGTTCTCGAGATTTCGAGGAATTTAGGCGACTATTAGAGTGACTATCAGGGTGCACTACTATTAGAGAAAATACGGTAGATGAATTAATAGTTGGCTGTGATTGATCGACTGTGATTGATCAAATGATCGGGATCTTGTTTGAACAATCATCAAGCAAAGTATAATACCGTATTTTCTCTAATAGTAGTGTACCCGGGCGCGCCGAGTTGGTGGCTATTTTACAGTTTCCAAGCTTTTGCAAGCTCAAGACTCAAACCCCCCCACTAGATCTCATCATCAGCTACATTTTCCGACCCCACATCGATAGGTTTTGATAAGCGGTTCTCGAGATTTCGAGGAATTTAGGCGACGCTCGGGGTACACTACTATTAGAGAAAATACGGTATATACAAAATGACTAGCAAGGGAATGATCTCAACTCAAAGTACGGAATCGATTAGAAACACAGTGACTATCAGGGTGCACTACTACATTAGAGAGAAACATTGTATTGTACTATATTGTACTATTGGGTTGGGGACTATGACTCGGCGCCAAACTTTAAAGGGACTTTTTGCACACATAAAGCCTTCTTTAAATATACGTTTGGTTTCATCAAAAGGATCCACTATTTCTCTACAAAATCACTTTTGAGAGATTCCACAAAGCTTTTCTTTCGTAGAGTTTATGAATTTCGAAACGCAGCTGGTTAAAATGGCAAAGAGTCCGACTCATCATTTGAACAGTTTCTTTCACATAAACCTTCTTTGGTGTTTATATAAAAAAGATAGAGCACATCGAATTACTTAAGTTGCCAAATTTGCAGGAAGATCCCACCAATGGTTTTTTCTAGATCACAGTTTGTAGTTTTTGTGAAAAAATGGCTTTTTCTTGAGCGGAGGCGCTGTTTGAATTTTCTTTTAAATGTGATTTTGTAGAGAATTAGTTAACCATTCTACTCATATCAAACGCATATTATTTGACGAAGTCGAATTGAAGTTTTAGACATTTTTTTGATTTTCGGCGCCGAGTCATAGTCCCCAACCCAATACATTGTACTACATTGTATTAGAGAAAAACCGATATTCAATCAATTATTCACTGAAATATTCAGAAAAGGCTTCAAAATGAAACCAGTTTTTTTCAGTGCCGAAGAAAAGAAAAGAAAAAAACAATAAATAAACCCGTATTTATAGATTGTGCTTCAAATTTCCCTTTTTGACACAGTCAGAGTGATAAGAGACACAAATAAACACAATTGAAGAAATCAGAAAATCATCGCATAAAACAAAAATTGCAAATTCCGTTTTGTGCTCAAAAATTGTAAACCCATCTTGACTAGTGCACAGAATTCTTTAATTTCCTTTTTGCATTGTGAAAAATGAAGATTTTTTGCACTAGAAACGATGCGTTTATAAAGTTTAAACAAAAAAAAGAACAAAAAAGAACAAAAAGAAGTGACAAGGAAAGGACAAGTTTCTCTTTTGATCTAATTTTTTGAAAAAGACAACCCAAATTCAAGGTTATCTTGTACACTTCAATCAAAAAACGACTCAACTTTTGATAAAGAAGAAAAGTGGGGACAGTTTGTACATATCGTAGTGTTGTAGTGAAAGTGAAAGAACAAAGAGCTTCAAATTTAAAGAAGGTTATCTCGTAAAGTTATCTTGTAAAGTTACCTTGTAAAGTTACCTTGTAAAGTTATCTTGTAAGGTTATCTTGTAAGGTTATCTTGTAAAGTTACCTTGTAAGGTTATCTTGTAAAGTTACCTTGTAAAGTTACCTTGTAAAGTTATCTTGTAAGGTTATCTCGTAAGGTTATCTTGTAAGGTTATCTTGTAAGGTTATCTCGTAAGGTTATCTTGTAAAGTTATCTCGTAAGGTTATCTTTTAAGGTTATCTTGTAAGGTTATCTCGTAAGGTTATCTCGTAAGGTTATCTTGTAAAGTTATCTTGTAAGGTTATCTTTTAAGGTTATCTTGTATCTTGGTTCTCTTGGTAAAAAGGTTTTCTTGTACACTCCAACCAAAAAAACAACTCAATTTTTGATAAAGAATAAAATTGTAGACATTTTGCACGTATTGCAGTGTTGCAGTGTTGTAGCGAAAGTAGAAAGAGGTTAAAATTTAAAGAAGTGGAAAGAACAGGTTAAAACTCGGGGAAAATGTCGCCTCTTTTCCTCTGTTTGTTTTCTTTTCGAATTTTTTCCTTCTCAGAATATTTACTCAAAAAAAATACTACCAGATTAACGATCAGAAAGCGTTTTGGAGAAAAAAGTTTGCACACTTTGTGCTCAAAACGTAGCCCTTCTAGTGCACTGATTTCTTCACTTTTCTTGTGTAAGCAAGTCATTTCTTTGATAAAAAGAAAAAGAAGAAGAATTCAATGTGCCAGAAAGGGTGCGTTTACAAAATATTGTGAAGAAAGTAGATCTGAGGAAACAAGTTGACTCAAAGAAACTGAGTACACTACCAGTAATTGATGATGAGAATCGATTGGGTCAAAGTATTACAACTAACCAATGCATGATGGTTATTAAAGAAAAATTAAACGCTAATACTAAATTGTAATACTGTAATAATGTAATAATCAATAATGTAATAATAATAATATTAAATTGTAAAATCACAATTTTCAGAAAAATCTAGCATTATTGCCTAAATTCAGCGGTAAAGCACCGATCAATTCATTGATTTCTTCTTCGCTTTTTTCCTCCAATCGGTTACTGTTTTGTAAGCTGGAAATGGATTTATTGGTTTAACAAATATGGGAAATTTTTTTTCCGTATTAGCTCGTACTTTAAGCTTTGGGAATCTGATAGTAACCCAAAAAGACCCCGATGGATAATCTCTATCCTAGCTTATAGGATAGAGATTATCCAGCATCTCCTGCTCTATCCTATAAGCTAGGAAAGAGATTATCCAGCATCTCCTGCTCTATCCTATAAGCTAGGATAAAGCAGGAGTCTAGGCCAGAAGCCAAGTCGAATTGCCTTTCCCTGATTTCTCGTTGATTTTCGATTTTTTCCCCCTCACCGATGAACTTTCCAAAGTGCATCAGCTCTGGCCTCATGTAGCAATGTGTCCTCTGTTGCTTTCAACGCTTTCTCCTCCCATGCGATTTCGGGAAATGTGGAGACATTGCTGAAAGATTCGATTGTGAAGGTAATGCAAGCAAATCTATTTCTAAGTCAGAGAGAATCAGTTTAGGGTACAGGCCACATTCTCAAGGCAAAATTATTCGATCAAGGACCTGGTTAGTTCCAAAATATTTCTAGATCTAGTAAATCGTCGACTTGCCTCCTTTTTTGGTTAGGAGATTTAAAAAAAGAGTTACCTTGACTCCAGAGTTAGCAGAGGGTGCACCAGAAAAGGTGCGTTTACGAAAGCTTGAGCACAAAGTAACCTAACAAGTGATTACCGTAATTGGACTTGGTGAACTTGCTTAAATGCTAAAAATTGACCTGCGCTACCGTAATCGAACCACAGTCATATTTACTGTTAAACTCTCTTCTGAGTTTAGCTAACAAATTTCTCTATAAGCCTTCAATTTATTTCAACTAACCAATGCATGATGGCCAACTTCGAGAAAGCGTTCACCGGTTGATGGTCCCAATTGAGACGGGATAGGCGGTATTCCTAAAATAAAATGCTAAAGATATCAAAGATCTCTAATTAAAGATATATTTAGCTAACAATGCCCAAATTTAATTCACCTCAAAGGGTTGATAATGCGGCATTGGGGCCAAAGTCGAATTCGATACAAAACTCGTCAATCCGGGCAAATCCGCTTCATCGAAAGCCGTCAACGAATTCGAGAAATCGTTTGTGATCAAGATTATGTCGCTCATTTTCTAAAAGGCATTCGATTTGATTACGGTATACTTTTGAAGCACCGCCCCCCAAGTGTCCCCATTGCCAGAGGCGTTTTTTGCGGTTTTTCTCGCCGCTCACCTACGTTTGGTTTCATTCGATAGCCCCGTTTTAAAATCTATCGAATGCAACCAATTGTAACCAAAAATCGGTCAATTGAGAGGCGAGAAAAACACAAAAGCCGTAGTTTGCCTCTGGTAACACGGGAACACTTGTGGGCGGTACTTCAAAAGTCCAAATTTTCTTACCGTATTCCGATTTTTCCACAAAATGTAGTCCAAGTACTCGAAACGCTCCAAATCGGCCGCGAAAATGAGCTCAACGCCGAGATTTCTGAACAGATCGTTACAGTATTTCAATAGGAAAAGTACTCAGTTAAAAATTGAATATTTTTTGTCAATTGATGAATTGAAATGAGTCTATTCTTGTAGCCGAATGCATTCATTGTGCGATCTTACAGTATTCTTAACTGAATTATCTTAAGAGGATGTGTTGGCTCAGCGTCCTGACTTACTACATTATACCAGAATGAAAGTATTCAGCTAACAAGACTGAATACCTATATCTATCTAAATATCTAGGTAAATCAAGTCTATATCTAAACCGTTATCTAAATTCCAAGTCAATTGTATCTTTTGGTAAAACGTACGCGTGTTGGAAAAAGGTTTCGTTGAAACGAGTGACTTTCACATCGGTTTTCTTCGCCAACCAGTGTTGCTCGACTTTTGTGAGAAATGAGAGCTGAATATCATGCATATTTCTTCTGAATATCTGGCATTTTTCGAAAACTTACGGGAACATTTAGTGTACAAGCATAGAAATCCTTCAATTCTAGAGCGATTCCCAGTAAATGAGCGAAGACGATTTTGTGTGAATCAAATGGAAGAGAGCCCATGAAATGAATCTAAAATGAGAGAATTGTATGCAACTTGCAAACGCAGCCTATTTCGTACACTGATTTCTCTAAGTCAATTTCCCAGAGAACAGCTTGGACTTGTACGTTGTGCACTCCCAAAAGCACACCTTCTGGCCTACTGGTTTCCTCAAAATGAGTGTGCCAGAAGGTGTGTGTCTACGAGAACATCAGGTACACATTGATCATCAATTTCATTCCAGAAATCTTTACCCGATGCACCAATTTCCCATTCAACATCGCGTCGATCGTCTTCATGATCTGGGCACTAAATCGGTGTTTGAAAGGAAATTTTCTCAAAAATCTACCTAATCTTTGCTTTTTTCATCGCTTTTTGCACCATTTTCATCTCGAGGTTCATCTAATGAAAGAAATGGTAAATGAAGTTGCAAAAAAAATACTTGTTGATAGGTATCCACTCGGGGTTCCAAGCGCGACGCCAAACGAGCCGCAAAGTTTAGGGTTTTCCTGGAAAAAAAAGTATTAGACCAATTAATCCGAGCTCCAATTGGTAGACTCAATAAAATGAACAGCTTCAATCGATTCCCGAGGCACAAATTTTTGACACTAAATCTCATTTGGGAATCATTTACAGAACGAAAGAGAAATCCCTATGTAAATGTAAATGTTCTACGATTTCAAATGAGATTTAATGCTAAAAATTTGTGCTCCGGGGTTTTCAAGGTCAACATCAAAAGTTCACATTAGTATTATCTCTAGACAAAGTTATGGGCCTACAAAGCGTGCCAATTTCTTAAAAATTCCCGAATTTCTCACCTCAATTCCCGGTACGTTTCCTCTTCATTGTCTCCGCGTGGATCGATGGTCATTGTTCAAAAACTTCTGAAAAAAAATAATTTGAGACGAAATTTCAAACTTCAGAAACAATTATGGAATCACAATGTGAGGAAGAACGTAGTTAGTAACCAACACCCTTACCTAAAACCTTTAAACTTATCAACATTTCCTAAAATGATTTGACAGTAACAAGAAGATCGCGCCATGACAGATTTTTTCGATTTGCGTTTTAGTTAAAAGGAATTATTTAAGTTGAGTTTATACGACATTTGTGAGCGGATTCAAAATAATGGAGTGAAAGGAGCCGAAAATAAAACGAAATAAAACCGTATTAGATACTTCGGGGGGGGCACTTTGACCCGACTTGGTCAGATCCTATTCTAGTTTTCTTTTGCATTTTCTGGGATAATCAAATACGCTTAATCAATTGACGAAATTTTTAGAATGTTTTGAACAAGTTATCACTTTGTGTTTTTCTCCTCATTTTCAAGCTTAGCAAAACTCCAGCTAGCTTATCAAAATATCAAAAATTGTTCAAAACTTTCTAAAAACATTATCAATAGATTAGATATAGGTTCAATCAAATACCGATCAATAGATCAATAGATGTTTGATTATCCCCAAAAAAAAGTAAAATAAAACAGCCAAAAAATACAATCTGACAAAGTTGGGTCAAAGTGGACTATCCGAAGTTTATTAGTACCGGAAATAGTTACCGTAAATACTGTAATAGTACCCCACCCCCATAATGACGGTGCGGAGTGTTGCGTAGTCTAGCTTTGGACGAGTTTTTCTCGACACTGGTTTATGATACAATGCGCGCTTAGGCATCAAAAAATAGCCCTGAATTTCAGCTATTTTTTTGATACCAAATACGCATCTCTTGAAAGTACGGGCGCTTTGAAAAAAATGAAATACGAAAAAACTTTTGCGACTACGCGACTGTACGAGGGGGATGGGGTACTATTACAGTATTTACGGTAAGTTTAGTTTATACGGCATGTGTGAACGGATTCAAAACAATGGAATGGAAGGAGCCTGAAAAGAAAACGAAATAAAATCGTATTCGAATTTTAAACAACAAACTATTGGTAAACAATATAAAAAAGGGAACGAACGAGGGAAGAGAGAGAGTACTTTAAAAACGCGCAAAAACATAATAGATTTTATGGAGGGGAAGAAAACTTAGCGAGACTTAGCGAGAAAAGGCCGGCAAAGTTCCGAGCATGGCAAGAAGAAAAAAAATGAAAAGAATGGCAAAAGGGGAATTTTTGTACGAGGTACGGTGACGGATCCACAGTTTAGAAAGCGCGTCGCACCGCTTTCTCACCAATTCCTTAAAACCGCACGTCAATAGGAATGTATCGTCTATGTAAAAAAAGCCATATTAGAATTTTAAACAACAAACTATATGTAAACAATATAAAAAAATGAATGATTGTTTCTTTTTGCCCGTATTGATTGTCTTTTCCCTTTTCCTGAAATTGCCATCGGAAACTTTCCACATCTGTTCAAATAGACATAAAATTGACCGACAAGTGGCATTTTTTTTGAGGTGTTTCATGAACAAAATGACCTTTGAATATATATGTCGTAGCCGTTTACGAAATTCAGCCGATTACGGATGATTCGTTAGCGGCTAGCCGATTACGAATCATTCGTTAGCGGCTAGCCGAGTACGATTACGAAATTCAGCCGCTAACGAATGATTCGCAATCGGCTAGCCGCTAACGAATGATTGGCAATCGGCACGATTACGTAATAGCCGAGTACGATTACGAAATTCAGCCGCTAACGAATCATTCGTTAACGGCTAGCTGATTACGAACCTTTCGTTAGCGGCTAGCCGATTACGAATCATTCGTTAGCGGTTGAATTTCGTAAACGGCTACGACATATAAATGAATAGGTTTGACAAATCAATGACGGCAAAAAGACGCAATTATATGTAGTATAAAACATGAAAAAAATAAGAAGAATTGAGCTGAATTAGCTCATTTTATTCACTATGTATTTTGGGTGTATTGTTTAGTATTTGAAGCTGTAAATTGTTTAGTATTTAAAGCAAAACAATCATTGGTGGTACTCTCAGCAGTTCCAAAGATATTCCTGGCCTATAGGCAAGCGTGTACGCAAAAGATTTGTCCGCAATTAACGTAATGCTGCAATAGTTAAAAGGTAAGTTAAGAGTACTTGAAAGAGTCTTGAAAGATGTATCAGTTTTAGAAAGTGATCTGTAGTTTATGGGTAAGAGCACATTGGTGGGCAAGCAGGCAAGCAAGGTTAGCACATTGGTGGTACTCTCAGAGTTCCAAAGACATTCCTGGCCTAAAGGCGAGCTTGTAGCCTAAAGCTTGTACGCAAAAGCTTGTAGATTTAACACAACGACTAGAGTTAGCTCCTGTTATTTAAATTTGGTTAACAAATAATTAATTGCACAATGAATAGTGTCATAATTGCAATTAATTGCACTAAATATATGCAAGTTTTATATGCAAATACGTTAATTTACCTTTCTTTCAATTTCCCCCTATAAACAATGGACAGATTAAGCTGACAATTTGCATACACGGGTCAGGGAATTCGAATCCGGTATTAGTTTTTGACTACAGTAACCCCGAGTACTAGAAATAGGAGTGTTCGGCAATTTTGGAGAGTTCCCAACTTCGACATTAAAGAAACTTTTTTCCTATTTGATTTTTCCGATTTTGGTGCTTTTGAATACCTTGAGATTTCTTCTAATAAAAAGAGATCGTCGCATTCCAATTGACGTCGCCGCCGTGGTCGTCGTCGGAGGTAGTCGATGGGAGCGTCGCGTCGTCGTCTCTTTTTCATTTTCATTCATTTTTCATTCATTTATTGTTGACGAAAAATGTTGAAAAATAAAAAGTTATTCATTTTTTTGTAAAAAAAAAACCCGGTTATTTCGAAAATTTTCTAGCGAGGGCGCTCAGACCTCCGACGACGACGACGTCAATTGGAATGCGACGTCGCGCGAAAATTAACTTTTAACAATAAGGTAAAGTAAAATTTTTGCGACCAGGACCATTTTTTCTTAATTCCATCAACAAAACAAGCTGAAAATTGGTATCTAAGGGTTTTTGGGGTGGGGAATTCGAATCTAAAGTCAGATTTAAAAAAATCTTAAACGGCCGTTGAGATATAACTGTTTTTTCGACTAACCGAGCTCAACTTTGTTTCACCCACCCTTTTTTCCGGGTCCCAGAAAGTTTATCAATTAGGAAAACATAAAATTTTTCATTTTGTGTGTAAAAATTCCCACGTTTTCCTAATCGCGCACTTTCTGGCACACTTCTTTCGTGAATATGCCGTAAAAACCGTTTTCAGTTTTGCTCTTTTTGATCTCTTTTGGTTCAATTACCCTAATTTGACTAATTTTTCTTCAAAAAGACAGTAAAAATCAAAAAAAAAACGGACGTTTTATTGGAATTCTTAACACCCAAAAAGCCACTTTTGCTAAAGCTTTTTGGTGTAATTTAGATGGTAAATTGGATTGGAATGGAGAGAATATTCAAGCTTTTAAAGAATTACACGATTTATTATAGTATGAGTGAGTTTTGAGTAAATTTTCTGGATTACTCGAGTAATTTCCATGGGTTTTTGAGCAGTAAAAAGTTTATCTTTTGCATAAGACAAAGAAAAAAAAAACAAACAAACATAAAGACACGGGAGTGGGACAAATGCGACCTTTTTTTGCGCACCTGGACATTTGCGCACCTTTTTTCCGCACCTTGCCCATTAGCGCACCTTTTTTCGCGTTTTAAAAAGCTCTAAAAAGCTAATATTAACCAATTTCTATTCCAAAAGTTGCTTTTCTAGGTAATTTGAGGGTGTCGAATTCAAATTTTGGCATATCAGAGCGTGTGGAACCAATTTGAAAGAGGCTAGATCAAATTACAGAAAATTGTCGACTTTTCTCTTTGTATAACTCCGTCCGTTTGTTTCCACAAGCTCTGATATGTCAAAATTTCGATTCTACACCCTCAAATTACCTAGAAAAACCTAGAAAAACAACTTTTGGAATAGAAATTGGTTAATATTAGCTTTTTAGAGCTTTTTTGCTTTTTTAAAACGCGAAAAAAGGTGCGCTAATGGGCAAGGTGCGGAAAAAAAGGTGCGCAAATGTCCGGGTGCGCAAAAAAAAGGTCGCATTTGTCCCACTCCCTAAAGACACAATAAAATATTGCATAAATACTCGTCTTTTCAAAATCAAAAGCGACAAAAATGGGGAGGGAAAGATGACAGAAATGATCCTAGTGCAAAAAAAAAAAAAAAAAAAAAAAAAAATTTCAAATTCCTAAAATTTCTAAGCAAAAAGAGAGACTAGTCAAAAAGAATATTTTAAAAAAAAAATTCAGAGATCAAACAAGGCGATGAGGGGCAAAAATTGAAGAAAAATCAGTTAAAAATTGGTAAATTTCAAGAAAGAAAAGACAAATTTCACGGGGAAATGAAAAAATGGCAAAATTTGATGAAAATAAACCCGTTTACTGGGACAAAGTTGGAAGGATTTGAAATTGAAAAAAATTACGTAATTTTTAGACAGACGGCTGAACGCGAGCCGTAGCCATGATATCAAAAGCCTGGAAAATGAGCAATAATATTTGAAGTGATCTTTCCCACTCACTTGTCTCAATTCATCCATTTGTGTGGCCATTTCTCTCATCATTTGATTCATCGCTCTCATCTGTTCCCTCACTGCTGTCATCTCGGGTTGTTCGGCTTCTAAAAGTTCTCTCTTTCTTTCTTCTTCACTTTCTTTCTTTCCTTCTTTCTTTCCTTCTTTCTTTCTTTCCTTATTTCTTTCTTTCTTTCTTTCTTTCTTTCTTTCTTTCTTTCTTTCTTCATCATGATGCTGATTAGCTTTTTTTTGCATTTAATTTCATCTTTCTTTTGTCAGCAGAAAATCTAACCATGATCTTCTTCTTTTAATGAAATCGCTTGCATTCTCGGGAACCAATCAAGATTTCTTCCTGTGATACATTCATGCACATACGATTCTGGACCAGTGAACTCGGTTCCATCTTTGATTTCAAGCCAGACTGAAAAAGAGATTTGATCAATAGATCTAATGATCCAGAGATCTAATGATCAATAGATCTAATGATCCAGAGATCTAATGATCAAGAGATCTAAGGATCAAGAGATCTAAGGATCAATAGATCTATTGCTCAATAGATCTATTGCTCAATAGATCTAATCAAATAGATATTTCTAATCAATTCACAGACCCTGAAAACCCCCGAGTACAAATTTAGAGCTTCTTTTTCTGTGCTCAAACTATTGATCATTAGATCTATTGATCAATTTTTGCCTTTTAAATCTTGTCAAAATTGAGATTTTTGTCAGGATTGGCTAATTTAATTCAGAATTGAATTTCTCTCACCAATAAAATACAAATAATGCCAAAGATTGTGTTCCTTTTCCCTGTGATCCTCAAAAGAAACGGATCGATTGTCGAATTTCCCTCTTTCTAGGGCACAAATGAAGCAAGTGTTCTAGAAATTGATCAAATTTATCAATCTTATAGGATTACTCTAATTTCAGCTACCTTTAGCACATCTTCTTTCTCGTTTTTCTCCGTACGCAAATCGCCGAAAGTGTCAATGATCACACCTGAAGAAAGGACAGTAAAATTGGAAAAAAAAGAACGAACTGAAAACTATGTAAACTTTGATAATTTTTTTTTTACCAAAAATCAAGTTAAGAACAATGACAATGCAGACGACAAAGAAGGACATATCGTAGAAAATCCGCCAATAGAAAGTAGGTTCCTGAAAGGGATTTTGAATTGAGAATTGAGAATTCTGATTTTATACTAATTCTAGTTCTAGTTCGAGCTTGTAGCTTGTACAAGGAATTAATTTTCGATTTGGTAGCACCCAATCTAATACACCCAATCTTTTTTGTTAGCACCCAGTCTAATAAAAAATAAAATCTGTAAAATCAGCTAGCTCACCTCTTGGGTGTTTAGGGAAATTAAAAGTAAATCCCGTATTTTCTCTAATATTAATGCACCAAGAGCGTCGCCTAAATTCTTCGAAATCTCGAGAACCGCTTATCAGAACCTATCGATGTGGGGTCGGAAAATGTAGCTAACGATGAGATCTTGTGGGGGATTTGAGTGTTGAGCTTCTGGGAAAAATTGGAAACCGTAAAATTGTCCTCAACTCGGCGCGCCCGGGTGCACTACTATTAGGGAAAATACGGCATTATACTTTGCTTGATGATTGTTCAAACAAGATCCCGATCATTTGAACTCAATCACAGCCAACTGTTAATTCATCTACCGGATTCTCTCTAATAGTAGTGTACCAGGAGCGTCGCCCAAGTTCCTCGAAATCTCAAAAAGCGCTTATCAGAACCTATCGATGTGGGGTCGGAAAATGTAGCTAACGATGAGATCTAGTGGGGGATATCTTTCTTTCATATCTTTCTCAAGCTCATCTTTTTCTCCTCCAATTGTGTGATTATGTTTTGGAAAGCAAAGCAAAGCATCTACAAAGCTATCCTTGTAGATGGCTTTGTAGCACTTTCTCTTTTTATCCATAAAAGTGCAAATGCCCCTTCGACTGCACTTTTCCCTTTTCTTTTCTCGATCGGCTGTACTTTGTTGCACTTTCCTTCTCATCTCTTCCACTCGAGATTCACCGTTTCCCCCTTTGTAGATTGCTTTCTCAAAACACAATCACAAAGCTACAAAGCTTGGAAAGCGATCTACAAAAGATTCAAAGACAAAGATCCTTTTCAAAGCCAGAACTTTCCCATTCCAGACTCCAGACTCACCTCGGGATGTATATTCCTGAGCACATCGCCAATCCCTCCTCCATTCCTCAATCCCCAATTGAGCGTAGTGATAATGCACATTTTCAACGAGTTGCACGTGTAAATTCGTTCTTCTTCTAGAAAATTCGATTTAAAATTGTTTTACAGCTTTTCCCATAAAAGTTAAAAGTTAGTAGAAGTGATGATCGTGATGTAAAAAAGCAGTGAATTATTGGTATTACTGGTATTACTCTTTTGTGGTATTACTGGCAGTGGTATTACTCTTTTGGCCGATTCAAACCTTTCACTGGCGGTTTTTCAGCGACTTTTTTCACGCCTAGAGTAAAAGATACAATTCAAAAATGATTTAATTGTATATAGTACTGTCATGTATGTAGTACTGTCCTGTATATAGTACTGTACTGTATATAGTACTGTACTGTATATAGTACTGTACTGTATATAGCAGGGTTCCAATTCTAGGATCGATGAGTGAGACAAGATCAGGCAAAGCAAGGATCGCCAGAAAGCAATGCACAAGCCAGATCCAGAACTAGCTTCAAGCCAGATCACTTTTTGAGAAAGCCAGCAAGGTCAAAAGAAAGCCAGCAAGGTCAAAAGAAAGCCAACAAGGTCAAAAGAAAGCCAACACGGTCACAAGACTTGGCCTGGTTCTAGCTTTGGAACAATACTAGTACAATACTTCTATTACAAGATTTCCAAGCTCGGGGTATTCTTTGGGTTTTTTTAGATTTATTGGTACTATTTTTGCGTACTAATTTCTCAAGTACAAGAAGATTTTTCTCTCAAAAACCAACCAGGATCATCATCGTCTTTATTTTCTTTAATCTTTTCGGAACATTGATCTTTTGAACATGTTTCCTCATTTTTCAGAGGAAATGGCGGTGGTGGAGGGATCGAGGTCGGCAAAGGAGGCGCTTGTTCCACTTCGAGACGGAAATCTGTAAATGAAAATTGATTGAAATTGATTGAAAGTGTAAAGGAAAGAGTTTTTTGAGGTCTTCTTTTGGATTAAGAGAGATAATAATGAATGAATATATAATGAAGAGATATTGATTGATAATAGAATATTGATAATGCCTAGCAAATAGTTTCGTTTACAAAAAAATCTCAGTTTTGGTTGGATTACCGTTTTTCTGAATCCTCAGCTGCTTAGTTGCTTTAATTTTACGGTTGGATTCTTAAAAAGTTGGATAAAGTGCTATTTTTTTTAAGAAAATTTGCTAGTTATCCAAGAATTTCATGTAATTTTTGAGTTGAGTTACCGTTTTGAAAGAATAGAAATCCAAAAATAGCGAAGAGATAGACGAGGATCAAGGCCAGCATTCCTGGAAAGATTTTAGGTAATAAATTTTAGGTAATTTACTGAAATTATCAAAAATCAAGCAAAAACTGAATACCATATTTTCTCTAATAGTAGTGCACCCTAAATTCCTCGTAATCTCGAGAACCGCTTATCAGAACCTATCGATGTGGGGTCGGAAAATGTAGCTAACGATGAGATCTTGTGGAGGATTTGGGTGTTGAGCTTCTGGGAAAAATTGGAAACTGTAAAATAGCCACCAACTCGGCTCGGCAGGGTGCACTACTATTAGAGAAAATACGGTATCATACTTTGCTTGATGATTGTTCAAACAAGATCCCGATCATTTGATCAACCACAGCCGGTCAATCACAGCCAACCGTTAATTCATCTACTGTATTTTCTCTAATAGTAGTGCACCCTGATAGTCACTCTAATAGTCGCCTAAATTCCTCGAAATCTCGAGAACCGCTTATCAGAACCTGTCGATGTGGGGTCGGAAAATGTAGCTAACGATGAGATCTATGTGGAGGATTTGAGTCTTGAGCTTCTGCAAAAGCTTCGAAACCGTAAAATAGTCATCAACTTGGCTCGCCCGGGTGCACTACTATTAGAGAAAATACGTTATATTATCTCGACAATCTATTGTCGATTGTCTAACTGTTTCTCTATCAGAATGTCTTCAAAAATCCTTTTTCACTCATCAAATTCAGCTTTTAAGATAAACAAAACTATCTAAAGCTGAGTATTCTTATAAAAGTTTATAATTATATCAATTTTAAGTCTTTGCAAGTCTTTTTCTTGGCAATATATCACCAGAATGAACTCAAATGCCTCTTCGCTTGAATTTTCTCGGTATTCCTTTAAACAAACCCGTCAAAATGATTGATTTCCAATTTTTCGTCACCGATTTGATCACATTTTGGAGAGTGTCTTCGGAGGCGACAATGTCAAATAGCTGAAGTTAGGGTTTATGAGATGAAAAATATAAAAATAATCGATTTAATTCCATATCTATATTAATCAAATAGCTAATTCAATACCTAATTCAATAACTAATTCAATAGCTAATTCAATAGCTAATTCAATAGCTAATTGAATAGCTAATTCAATATCTATTTCAATATCTTTCAATATCCCTATCTTTCTAATTCCAAACTCACTAGGAAAGCATAGAAAAACGGATGAATGAAGAGACCGGCGATGCACAAAAAGAGATACACCAAATGGTAGTAGAGATCACGATCCGTTAGTCGTTCTTTCCAATTTCTGAAAACAGAATTCTGAATTTTTTTTACACGAATAATGTGGTATAAACAATATACAAGCAGCCCTAAATGTAGGGAAAAAACTCATAGATATGGAAAAAAGAACCAAAAACCTGGCCAGCGAGATTGACCTTTTGACTAAGAGACAGGGGGCTTAGCTCTTAGTCAGAAGTCTCTTAGTCAGAAGTCTCTTAGTCAGAAGTCTCTTAGTCAGAAGTCTCTTAGTCAGAAGTCTCTTAGTCAGAAGTCTCTTAGTCAGAAGTCTCTTAGTCAGAAGCTATGGTGCCAGTATCACAAGCCTTTTGAAATGCAATTTTCAAAGTCCACAATTCTCTTTATCAGCCGAAAAATCTCTAACGACGGGTTCTTCTAGCTGGATGTTTGGGGGTGAGGGGGAGTTACCGTGGCGCCGTCGAGAGCGCCCACACGGTCCGGGTTCGAGTGCCGGGTGTTTCACCGAGCTTTGATTCTTTTAAATTTTTTTGAAATGGCACAACTACAATATATTCTAAGGTTTTCTAAAAAGTTTTGGCTTTATTGGTCAAAGATGGCTGAGAAAATGCCCGTTAAAACAAAGAGACGGTAGCTTTTTGTTTGTTTATATTGTTTATATTGTTTATATTGTTTTGCTTTTTGTTTATAAACCCACTTATCCACCAATCCTCGATTCGAGACGAAAGCTGTGATGTGAATGATCTTGTTGATGATCTGCAAAAGTTTTTAAAGTGTATGTGGATTAGATTCGATTATAAACAAAGTCAACTCAACGTTGAAAATCTATAAAAGCCTCTACTAAGAAATTGACCGAATGAATTTCTCCGAAAATTTCACTATATACCAAACATTTTGTGCTCTATCTTTTATCTATAAACACGAAGATAGGTTTCCTTAGCGCAAAGTGTCTAAACCCGATCATTAGCTGACTAGCTGATTTCATCTTCTCAAAAAAAAAATCTATAAATAAGTCATTTGTAAACCCGTTTAAATGTTATTTTGCAGAGAAACGATTGATTATTTCTCGTTTCTAATGAGAATAAATCATAGTTTAATTGGTGAATTTCTTTGATTTTAAATGGAAGAGTTCAAGAAAAAAAGAAATCCCGAAAACTCGCTTTTTGATCACTTTTGAGCCTAATATAAGCCAAATAGAAGTCAAATTTGATTTCATTTTTGTTTATAAGATAAATACGCTTACCGTAAATACTGTAATGGTACCCCACTCCCCTCGTACAGTCGCGTAGTTGCAAAAGTTTTTTCGTATTTCAAAAGTCGCAAAAGTTTTTTAGTATTTCATTTTTTTCAAAGCGCCCGTACTTTCAAAAAATGCGTATTTGGTATCAAAAAATAGCCCTGAATTTCAGCTATTTTTTGATACCTAAACGAGCATTGTAGCCTAAACCAGTGTCGAGAAAGACGCGTTTTTTCGGGATGGTTGCGTAGTCTAACTTTAAACATCTCGTTCTCCGCGCTGCTTCATGCTACAATGCGCGCTTAGGTATCAAAAAATAGCCCTGAATTTCAGCTATTTTTTGATACCAAAACGAGCATTGTAGCCTAAACCAGTGTCGAGAAAGACGCGTTTTTTCGGGATGGTTGCGTAGTCTAACTTTAAACATCTCGTTCTCCGCGCTGCTTTATGCTACAATGCGCACTTTGGTATCAAAAAATAGCTGAAATTCAGGGCTATTTTTTGATACCTACGCGAGCATTGTAGCATAAACCAGTGTCGAGAAAAACTCGTTCAAAGCTAGACTACGCAACGCTCCGCATCGTCATTATGGGGGTGGGGTACTATTACAGTATTTACGCTTAGGATATCTACCTGAAATATTCCAATAATCCATAGAGCAGGCACCAATCCGATCACATTCATCAGAAGAGTCGAAAAAGAAAACATAAAGAAAGCGATACACCACATGAAACCCCAAGAAGTCCCGACAGCTGAGCTGGAATTAAAAAATTCGATATAAAACGGCTTATTTACTTTACTTACTTTAGGATTATTTAATTAAATGCTAATTTTCTTTTTTTTTTTTATTAATTTACTCAAATTTAACAAACTCACGTGTCATCCCATCGAAAATAAAGAAAAGCAAGCGAGCCGAAAGCTCCCGCCAACACAGAGGTATCAGGATGAGTGTAAGGCACTGTAAATAGATATAGATAGATAGATACAGTACTGGACAATGAAATATGATATTTGAAAAAAAGATCGACACTTTCGCGCGTCTGTAACTCCGTTGTCTTTGAGTTTAAACTATTAGTGTTATACATTTTCTGAAAGCTCTTTTCAATGGCTGCACAATGGTAATATTAATATTTAGAAATACGGTAAAGACAATGGAGTTACAAACGCGCGAAAGTGACGATCGTTTTTTCAAATATGATTTTTCATTTTCCAGTAGTGTAGATAGATAGATAGATTAATATTCGAAAATAAAGAAAAGCTAGCGAGCCGAAAGCTCCTGCTAACACAGAGGTATCAGGATGAGTGTAAGGCACTGTAAATCGATCAAAAATTCATGTATTGATCGATTAATATTCTAGTTTATCAGAAAAACTTTATCCAAATTTGATCCAAACAAACCGTCATCTCTCTCAAACGGGAAATGAAGAGCAACAATGATATTGACGAGAATTGCAAAGAAAAGACACAGACGACCCCATAAACGGAGACGTTGAGTGCACCAAGAGAGAATTCGACGATCTGAATCATTGCACATTTGATTTGTTCTATCAGTCGCAAACTGACTTCAGCTCTACTTACAGCTCTACTCTACTTACAGCTCTACTGTACTTACAGCTCCACTCTACTCTACTTACAGCTCTACTCTACTTACAGCTCTACTCTACTCTACTTACAGCTCTACTCTACTTACAGCTCTACTCTACTTACAGCCCCACTCTACTCTACTTACAGCTCTACTCTACTTACAGCTCTACTCTACTTACAGCTCTACTCTACTTACAGCTCCACTCTACTCTACTTACAGCTCTACTCTACTTACAGCTCTACTCTACTCTACTTACAGCTCTACTCTACTTACAGCTCTACTCTACTTACAGCTCTACTCAACTACTCAACTCAACAGCTCTATATTACAACTTCAATAGGAAGCTTACGTAGTATGAAAGTATGAAACTCTATGGTTCATTCACACAGAAACCAGAGTCTTATTGAAGTACCAGTTAAGAAACCAGTTATTGAAGTATTAGGTTGGCCGGAAAGTTCTTTCCGTTTTTTGCCCGCTAGATCTAACTTTTTATTTTACGCATCAAAAATGGCAAATAAAAAAAACAGAATTTATCTACTCGAAGGAGACATCAATAACATCCTGCCATCAATAACATCCTGCCGCTTATCCGGCAACAAATAGATTCCGATAGAACCGATAGAACAGAACAAAACCGATAGAACAAAAACTCACGTGGCTTCGAATCGTAAAACTGAGTGAGTGACAAGTGCACCATCGGACTACTATCTGTTCAGGTATTTTGTCCAGAATTGTCCGATTATCATTTTTTCAGGTCTCTGGAGCATCATTTGCGTGGAAAGATGTTTCAAAACGTCGAGGAAATACTGTCACTCACTCAGTTTTTCGATTCGAAGCCACGTGAGTTTTACCGCCGCGGAATCTATTTGTTGCCGGATAAGTGGCAGGATGTTATTGATGTTGACGGCAGGATGTTATTGATGGCAGGATGTTCTTGATGTTGTTGATGTTATTGACGTCTCTTTCGAGTAGATAAATTCTGTTTTTTTATTTGGCGTTTTTGATGCGTAAAATAAAAAGTTAGATCTAGCGTCAAAAAACGGAAAGAACTTTCCGGCCAACCTAATACTTACAATTAACTGATGGAATATTGAATCCTTGAAATCCTTTAATCCTTTAACTTACTTTGTAGCTTCTCTTGCCATCTCATTTCCTCATACAATTCTTCCCATTGCTCGAAGAATTCGGTTACTTTTGAGCCCTGGAAATAGCGTTTTGAGCGTTTTGAGCGTTTCTCTTTTCGATCAAGATTCTTGGGTTCTATTAGGTTGGAAAGAAAGAAAGTTCTCCGAAAGAGTTTGTCTAGAATTTCTTAAAAACGAATCCGCCAATTCAAGGAACATTTTGTTCTATTATTTAAATTTTGGAAGAATTGATGGGTTGATTTTTGAGAAATCACCGTGCAAACTTTTTTCGAGAACTTTCTTTTCAACTTTTTCGATAATTTCCTTTTTCCATACCTGTGCATCTCTTTCCGTATTTTCATAAACGAATTGTTTCGTTTCTTTCGTGAGAAAAGAGCATGTTGGATGAATTGGGAAAACGACTCGTTCAAGTGTTCGATCACGGCGAACAATCTGTGAAAAAAAAAATGGATGGATCTTTCGATAAAACTATCTCTAAATAAAGTAAAGAGCTCTAAAATCGATCTCTAGATAAATCTAGATTCTTTCTTAATTCTTCTTTATCTTTCTGAACCTCAATCTGTGCCGTGTGATCCTTGTAGAAGCGAAGAGCTTCTCGATTTTCGTCACCTAAGAAACACGAATAGGTTTTAGGATCGTTTTTCATAAAACTTTACTTTTATGCTCATCCTCTGGATCTAACCAGTGTTCCAATTCATCTGAATGTCTTGCCAACTGATGCGCCAGAATGTAAATATTGTGACCGACCTGGGAAATTGATTGGATTGGATAAGAATTGATAAGAATTGATAAGAATTGATTAGAATTGATAAGAATTGATAAGAATATAAGAATTGATTAGAATTGATAAGAATTGATTAGAATTGAGAAGAATTGAGAAGAATTGAGAAGAATTGAGAAGAATTGAGAAGAATTGATTAGAATTGATTAGAATTGATACCGTAAATACTGTAATAGTACCCCACCCCCTCGTACAGTCGTGTAGTCGCAAAAGTTCTTTAGTATTTTGATTTTTTTCAAAGCGCCCGTACTTTCAAAAAATGCGTCTTTGGTATCAAAAAATAGCCCTGAATTTCAGCTATTTTTTGATACCTACGCGCGCATTGTAGCCTAAACCAGTGTCGAGAAAAACTCGTTCAAAGCTAGACTACGCAACACTCCGCGCCGTCATTATGGGGGCGGGGTACTATTACAGTATTTACGGTAAGAATTGAGAAGAATTGATTAGAATTGATAAGAATTGATAGGAATTGATAGGAATTGATAAGAATCAACAACAATCAATAAGAATAAAAACTCTTTACTCTACAAATTGCTACAAAATGCTCTTTTTTACCGTACTTCTTTCGGATTGACGATCGTCGATTCGGAACATTTCCTATCATAATCCTCTTCTTTAATCTTTTCTTCTTCAATTATCGTCAAACTTCCTTCCACAGAAATCCCGGGTAGAGTTACTGTAATGGAAAAAAAAGTAGAAAATAGAGAAAAGAGAAAACTGGATGACTGTGAATGGTTTAAAGTTCCCAAATTCCTTTACCTTGATCCATTTTCACGGTTGGACCGTCCATTGAGCGAGGGCCGTTCATGTGAGGCGTCTAAATAAATCTAGTAATGAATACAAAAATAATTTTAGCTAAATCAAAAATTCGATTGCACCAAGTTTTAATGTGCGTTCCAGATAAGCTTAAATCAAAAAATCTTTAAAATTGGCCGCTTCAAGAAGGAGCTAGACCCTCGACAAGGTTCTGCAGTCACAGCTCCTTTTAAAAAAGGCCGATTTAAAAGATATTTTTGTTTAAGCTTATCTGGAATACACACTAAAACTTATTGCAATCAGATTTGATTTACCGAAAAATTTTTTCTTTGTGCCGGACTCGTCGTGTACCGTAATCCTACAGTAGACTGGATATTTAGGTATTCAATAGCTCTACAGTAAATGAACCTAATCATCAATCGAATGGATCTTCTACCGTATTCTTATCGTAGAGTGAATAACAGTCAATACATAAGTAATCGAAAAACAAACATGATTGAGGATGTCGCGTCGAACTTGCGCGATCTTTAGATCATTCGAATTCGACATTTTGTAGGCTTGGGTGATTGCGTGGACCTGAACGAGTAAGATATTTATTTCAGAAAAATCTAAAACACAAAAAAATTTGCCCGGCGAGGACTCGAACCCGAGCAAAGATGGAATTCTCGCTTTGTATGCAAGCACCTTACCCGCTAAGCCACCGCTTCCCATTGACAATACGTGAGAAAAGCCTTTTCAACTAATTAGGACATAATGAAATACTTCGAATGCTAAAAGAGCTAAAAGTCTTGGCTTTTGGCTGGCTCGGTTAAAAGGCTTTTCTCGGACCGTTCAGGCATGACCGGTTAGTCTAGAGGATAGGGGGCTTGTTTACAAAGCGAGCTATTCCTTCTATGCTCGGGTTCGGATCCTCCGCTCGCTTTTTTTGGGTTTTTTTCTGATTTTAACCAAACTAAAAACAAATTTAGCGTTGTTAAGCCCTGTTTTTAAAGATTACGGTAATCAGATATCCCTTGACCCACCAATTGTTTCGGTCCTCCAGCCATATTCGTCATATTATGGAGGACTCTTTCCGAATTCTCGGAATCATGTCTCGATTCCATGATCGCCAATAGTAACTTCGAGGCATTACTCTTTATTTCTAGCGCTAAATCCATTCTCTCATCAGCCAGCGGTTTGATATCGTTAAGGACAAGGGAAATGATGATGTTTAATCCATTCTCTTGCATTGCCATCGTGTTCTAAAGGGTTTTAGTTACAGCAATGTTTACAGCAATGTTTACACGTTGACGACAATGGCGTTTTTGCGCAAACAATCGCATGGGACAACGTTGTTTTTTTTCGCCTGGGACATTGTCACCTGACATCAGGTGACAATGTCCCAGGCGAACGAATATGTGTCAGACAGCATCAGGTGACAATGTCGTCAACGTGTTAAGAATTGATTTTGAAAAAGAAAAAAAACCTGATTTTCGTGGCAAGGTCCTTGACAAAACTCAGTCAATGTGTTCAGCGTTTGAGTGATTAAAGAAAAGTTGTGAACACCAATTTCCCCAAAAACTCCCAGTGAGCCCTTTGTTGAGCCACAAACCTGAAAGTTACTCGAGTTATCGTATTGGAAAAGTTTTGGGGCAATTATCTAGATCATTTACCCTCATCTAAATCGTCTAAAATGAAAATCTTACCGTATCCAAGAACATCAAAGTGTCAGCGACGAGATTGTGATTTGCACGATCCGATTGTTTACGAATGAAATTCTAAAAGAAATTCGATTTTTTTTTTACAGAATTTCAACTATTTATAGATTTAAATCTAGACAATCTAGACAAAATAGTGATTTAATGCGATTCAAACCTGTAGTAAACTGTTGTGATTCTCACATAACAACTGTAGGACTCGAAGGATCGGCTCAACAACAGCCACTTCTTTTGGAAGATCGTCTTTTGGTCTAGAGAATCGATTACGGTAGGAAATGTGAATAATAACAACAAATTTGATGTTCAGCTTGATCGGATAAACATATCTGATTCACAAAGAAGTTCTAGACGGTTTAATTTTGCAGTAGTTTGTTTCAAAACTGGCAAAGCTAGAGAATATTTTTCGAATTTGGAATCATTCTTCCTTTCTTCCTTTCTTCTTTTCTTCTTTTCTTCCCTTCTTCCTTTCTTCTTCCCCTTTATCTTTCCCTCTTTTTCTAGGGAACTCAAGGTACTGAATAGCTCAGTGGTTGGTTGGAAAGCAAGGTCGAGGGTTCAATCCCTCTCTCCGGAATCTACTTCTTTTTCGCTTCTTTAGGCTTCGAAACATATCCCGGCTACTGTAATCCATAACTAGACGTTACCGTAGCCCGTAACTAGACGTTGCCGTAACCCGTAAATAGACGTTACTGTAGCCCGTAGCTAGGCGTTACTGTAATCCATAACTAGACGCTACTGTAACCCGTAACTAGACGTTACCGTAACCCGTAATTAGACGTTGCCGTAGCCCGTAAATAGACATTGCTATAATCTAGCTAGCTATGCGGTATGCTTAAAGACGCTCATGAAACGTGAACTAAAAGAAAGAGGTAGACCTGAGATTTAGAGGTTACGCTAGCCGGGCTTTACCGAGCCTGAATGGCAACTTGTAGCCCAAATACTATAGTCTAGGATACTGTAATTCTTATAAATCTTTCCTTAGCGGTAGGATTTACTAAAGTGCTACCTTTCCTCATCTTGATAGGGATTTATATCAGGCATACTGCCCATTTCCAACTCCATTCCACCATTTATCGATGAGCCACGCGAAAATCTAAAAGGCAATTATTTTTACAGTAAATAGAGTCGATTTTGTTAATCTACATAATTCTATCTGTTAGTGAGTGCATTACACCGCAAAATCATTCATTTCTAGACAAATTACCCAGAAATTTCAGTGTGTAACTCACCCGGGTACGGTAAGTGGCACGTTTAGTCTGAAAGGGTTGTGCTAGATGTTCAGTTACGGTACTTAGAGTCTTTCTTCTCCTAATCTTCAACCTAGACTCACACTCGATAAAGCTAAAGTTCTTCCGCTTTTGTTGATTGAATACTTTATACTTTTAAGTGCTGTGGTGAGTGCTTACTGTACTTGGAAGAGAGTTTAAAGTGAGTTAAGTCCGCTGTTTGCTAAAAGAATGAAAGTCCATAAAATGAAAGCCATTCCAGCTCATTTCAGAGATTTTTACCTAGGCGATAAGTTGAAAAACAACAAAGTTACAGTAGACTCAAAGTGCGGTCATGGCCGACTGGTTAAGAGTCTTGTCTCTTGATCGTTCAGTCCCACTGGGGTCGAGGGTTCAATCCCGCTGGCTAGATTTTTGTTTTTGTATGGGTTTTTCTCCTTCTAGAGAATGATTCGAAAATAAAATCAATGAATCGATCAAATTGTCTATAAATATAGACAAGATTACGGTAGAAATAGGGGTAGAAATAGGGGGACAAGATTACGGTAGAAAACTTGAAGATATTCAGTCAACTCAAACCTTCCACTCGTCGTTCCCTCCGAAAACGAGGCAAACGGGTGATCAGCGTTGTTCGCATCGACGGATGGCGTCAAAACGGCTGATGCTAAAGAGATAAAGGATTACTGTAAGATTACTGTAAGGTTACGGTAGGATATTCGCAAAAATAAAGCACACAATAGCAATAAAAAGCATGCCAAAGCTCGTGTACTTTGCGCTCATTGTAAATCCACGCCCCCTAGTGCACTGAAATTTCTGGAAATTTGCTAGAAAGGGTGCATTTACGAGAGCGCAAAGTACACGAATCTTGACTATCTTTTAGCCACACACCAAGCACCAAAAAGCCGGATGAATTTTTAAAGAGAAAGTTCAAGAGTTTAGACAAATTTTTATATTATTTTAGAAATTTAAAACAATTAAAACGAAAGTAAAATTATAAAAATTAGCATTTAAAAAGCTAAAAATTGACAAATTAACGGGGGTGGGACAAATGCGACCTTTTTTTTGCGCACCTGGACATTTGCGCACCTTTTTTTGCTGGAAAAGACCTTAGGCAAGGCCGTAGAGCTTCAAAAGTGTTTTCACATAAGGGAATCGTATGCGTAGATTCCGAATTTCGACAAATCAAAGCAAACCACACCTCGCTGACACGTCAAATTTGGACTAAAAGGCAAAAACTACGCAACTTAACGCTTTCCGCAGTTTTTGCCTTTTAGCCCAAATTTGACGTGTCAGCGAGGTCTCGTTTGCTTTGATTTGTCGAAATTCGGAATCTACGCATACGATTCCCTTCTATGAAAACATTTTTGAAGCTCTACGACCTTTCCTAAGGCCTTTTCCAGCAAATGAAAAAGGTGCGCAAATGTCCAGGTGCGCAAAAAAAGGTCGCATTTGTCCCATCCCCCAAATTAACATTTAAAAAGCTAAAAATTAATAAATTAACATTTAAATTACTAAACTCTTCAACTTTTTCCTTTCTTTTTTCAACTTACACCGTCGACTGACTTGTGTCGAGCTAGCTAAAGAGTTTTTTCTTTTTTTTTGTTGAGAAAAATCGACAGTTAAGGTTTTAGAAAAGGATTTCTGGGAGAAAGGAAAGAAATTTCCGCTTGCAAATCCGTTATTCAATCAATCAAACAATTAATTCAATCCGGTTAGTTTATTTTAACAACGGCACCGCAAATTTGCACACATTACTCCTTAAGAAATCGCATACAAAATTTAGCGCATGGATGCCCCTCGGCGGTGAAAATCACCGAGAGATGGCGACCCGGCTCGAAACGTCCTGGAAATAAGTGGAAATAAGTGCAAAATAAGTGCAAAATCGAGAGCGAATCGGTTTGGAATTGTGATTGCTTAAAGCTAGCTAACTTTAGCTAATGTATCCCTGAGCTTGAGCCTAAGCCTAAGCCTAACTTTTTAGGCTATATAATATAATAATATAATAATACTTTATTCAAACGATAAAGTGAAAGAAATCATAGAGAAATGCACAGTGATACTTAATCATACAATACATACTGAAATCAATAAGCCAATTACTTACGGCAAAGAGCCACTAGATCTAAAGCATCGATACGTTTGTCAAAAATGTCAAAAAAATGTCAAAAATGTCTATGTCAAAAAAAGCCCAAAATCGACATGTCAGATCTCAAATTCCAGACACGAGATCGACCTGAAAATTTGCCAGGATGCTCCTATGGGGGGCGCAGGCACAACACCAAACGGGTGTCCCTTAGCTCCGGGAACTCGCTGAGCTCCAAAAAATGGGGGTTCAGCCCAAACCCAAATAGACTTAGTGCTAGGCGCTAGCCGCTAGCCTACGCACTAAGTCCAAGCCTAAGCTTAAGCCTAAGCCTAAGCCTAAGCCTAAGCCTAATTCCATCTTCGTTTTCTCGACCGTTTCTTAGCCGATTACATTTGAAATTTTGGGTCTATCCCAAAACAGCGCCGCCAAAACAACGCCGACCAAAACAGCGCCGCCAAAACAGCGCCGTACCCAAAACAGCGCCACCCAAAACAGCGACGAGCAAAAAAAAATTATTTTTAGATTTTTGCTTTTGCTTTTTCTTTGCTGTTTTTAACTTTTTCTGTCCACTTTTTGTGTTTTTAGGGTAAAAAAAGGCGGAGAAACCGGGTTTTTTTTAAGCTTTACGCATAGAAACCTGCGATAGCGTTTATAAAATTGATTTTAACCAAAAATAACAATTTTTTTTTCCTTTTACGGCCTGTTTTTTAACGTTTTCACTAACTTTTTATTTCTACTACGGATCACTTGAAAGCTCTAACCGTTTATGTTCATCATCGCTAGTGTTATGATGTTTCAGAGTCTCTTGGACTATTAATTTCATGCTATTTTAATGTTTTTTATGCATCGTTTAATTGTTATCGTTTATTGTTGTTGGTCGTGTTATTTTGAAATAAATTGTCAAAATTAAAAGCTGCTAATAAAAAAAAATGAGTGTACATTGTAAAAGAAAAAAACTTTGTTTTGCATCGGCGCTGTTTTGGGCGTTTTTCATTGGCGCTGTTTTGGGTACGGCGCTATTTTGGGTACGGCGCTATTTTGGGTACGGCGCTATTTTGGGGTGGCGCTATTTTGGGTGGCGCTGTTTTGGTCGGCGTTGTTTTGGTCGGCGCTATTTTGGTCGGCGCTGTTTTGGTCGGCGTTGTTTTGGTCGGCGCTATTTTGGTCGGCGCTATTTTGGTCGGCGCTATTTTGGTCGGCGCTATTTTGGCGGCGCTGTTTTGGGATAGACCCGAAATTTTCGTCGACAAGCAGAGAATTGGATTTTCTTTTTGTAAGAATGATTGGCGAAGAAAATGAAGGTTGAATTTCGTTTGATTTTGGAATTTTTCTAGATCTGCTATCTAATGAATAGCCTAAATTGGTGCACGATTTGGCTTTGACATAGTTTAACCAGTTTTCTTAAGAATTCTTAAGAATTCTTAATAATTAATTCTACTTTACGACATTTTTTCTTAATTAGAAATAGATTTTCAAATTTGACCATCAGAAAAGCTTTAGAAATCGTAAAATGATTGCCGGAAACGAATTCCCTGTGTTCGAAAAGGCCACCATGGGAATTTTAGCATAAAATGCAAATTGGTACTGATGGCGCAATGGATAGCGTGCTATCCACTGTCCATAGCGCGCTATCCACTGTCCATAGCGCGCTATCCACTGTCCATAGCGCGCTATCCACTGTCCATAGCGCGCTATCCACTGTCCATAGCGCGCTATCCACTGTCCATAGCGCGCTATCCACTGTCCATAGCGCGCTATCCACTGTCCATAGCGTGCTATCCACTGCGCCATGGGTGTCTTTTTTGATTTTTATAACTTTCTCTAGCTACTAACTTGTTTTTGGTTTCGTCTCCGAACAGCTCATCATATCACTTTTAAGCCGATTTTGAGCTGCTTGAAGCCGCATTGAAATCGCCTGAAGAAATTGAGAGATTTGAAATCCGATTTGAAATCCGATTTGAAATCAGATTTAAAAATGATTTCAAATCAGCTAAACAGCTAAACGAATAAACCTTGAAAAATGGCTCATGCACATCTTTCTTCTTAAGCATCATGTAGAATGAGTGCTGCACTTTGTCGTTTCCATTGTGCAATAGCGAGCGCGCCAATTGGACGGCTTTAAGGAAAATCTCGTACGAGGGATCGCTGGTGATGATGTCGATTACAAGCTCTGAAATGTGGCCGAAATGCAAAAAAAAAAGGGGGAAATGGAATTGGACATCACTCATTCATCTCAAGACATCACTCATCACGACTTTAAATCACAACAGCACTCACCTTTCGCATCTTAATGATAAGGCAATCTTAAGCTTTAGTTTTTAAGACTTTTTTTGTTTAAAACTTTAAACTTATAAGATTTTTCGATCTACTAGATACAGAAATGTTTTCAATAAAGTCATCTTGATCTAGAAAGGCGATCTACAAAGCTACAGAGTAGATCTACAGAGCTACAAAGTAGATCTACAGAGCTACAGATTTACAAAGTCGATCTACAGAGCTACAGAGTAGATCTACAAAGCTACCGTAGATCTACAGATTTACAAAGTCGATCTACAAAGCTACAGAGTAGATCTACAAAGCTACAGAGTAGATCTACAAAGCTACAGAGTAGATCTACAAAGCTACAGAGTAGATCTACAAAGCTACAGTAGATCTACAAAGCTACAAAGTAGATCTACAAAGCTACAGAGTAGATCTACAAAGCTACAGAGTAGATCTACAAAGCTACAGAGTAGATCTACAAAGCTACAGTAGATCTACAAAGCTACAGAGTAGATCTACAAAGCTACAGAGTAGATCTACAAAGCTACAGAGTAGATCTACAAAGCTACAGTAGATCTACAAAGCTACAAAGTAGATCTACAAAGCTACAGTAGATCTACAAAGCTACAGAGTAGATCTACAAAGCTACAGAGTAGATCTACAAAGCTACAGTAGATCTACAAAGCTACAGAGTAGATCTACAAAGCTACAGTAGATCTACAAAGCTACAAAGTAGATCTATAAAGCTACAAAGTAAAAAACTACAAAGTTAGACACTTTTTCTAGGATAATTTTATGAGTCGGTTCCAAAAAAACACAATGAAAACTTAGGAAAATGCGTTTTAAGTAAAGTTTCAAGAATTGCAAGTTATAGAGATCTATTAGACCTCTCTAACTTGATACCTATTAGGATACAGTAGGAGTTTCGTTTAAAACTTTCCACCTGATGCCCCAGCGTCATTCAATTTGCACTGAATCTCATAAACGGGTACTGAGTCGATTGGCGCGACTTCCGCCAGAGATAGCATTTCTGAAAGATCGGAATATAGAAAAGCTGGAATAGCTGGAACAGCCGGAATAGCTGGATGAATAGCTGGAATAGCTGGAATCTCTTTCACTCACCCTCATCTTTATCACTATTTTTCCCATTGGATCTCTTCAATTGACCGTGTTCTCCGAAATATCTCAGCAATAGTTTTGAGCGAAGACGTTCACCCTGGAAATTTTTTGGATTTAATTTAAAATTTAATTTTTTTTGAGATTCAACCAAGTAAGTGAACTGAAAAAAAGAAAAAAAAGCAAGAAAACAAAGAAAAAAATTAGAGTTTTTCCTTTACAAACCATTTTCTTGCTAGTGGCCGTATGTTTGTAGCGAATCTGGAAAGTCTACAAAGGAATTATAAAAGGAATTGTAAAAGGAATTACAAAAGGGATTATAAAAGGAATTACAAAAGGGGAAATTCTGAGAAAAGTTGTGGATTTTCATTGAAATTTCATTGAGATCTTGATCGTTGAGAATCTTGATCGTTGAAACCCACTTGATCGTTGAAATCCTTTCGCTGAGCGGTCGCCATTCGGCAAAGCGTTTGGAGGACTCGGGTACACAAATTGTCCTGTTTACTTTGCATCAACTTCTTGCAATGGAGAATCAATCTGCAAGATCGGGTTTTTTGGTTTTTTGATCAACGATCAACGGGCAAGATCTTTTTAAAGGAAAAATCTAAAGCAAAGATATCATTGAGTCATTTCTAACATATTAAATAGAGAAAACTGACTTGTTAACAACTCGTCCCTTTGCACATTGTTCTCTCAACGTTGATCCAATTGGGAAAAGTAATTGTGGCATATGAAGAACATCGACCAAAACAGAACCCTCAGCTGCATGTAGGGGTAACAAATAGAATTTGAATTCTCCAACCATCATCTATTTTCATTTTCACTTTAGATTTCTCTATAAGCTTTCAATTTCTTACTTGATAACAATTGACAACATTTGCATTTCTTTCAGACACTAAAATCGGTGGAATCATCGATCCGCCAGTTGAGAGAAAAGAATTCTTTCGACGAACAGCCGTTAATGATTGCTGAATTCATTTGAATTGCTGAATTCATTTGAATTGCTGAATTCAACGATTGCTGAATTCTTTCAGAAATGAAAGAAGAAAAAGCTTCAGTTTTTTTTGCAAGTTTTAACAATTAGTATTGTTTGTGCTAAAGCTGTGCTTGTTATGCTGCTGTTATGCTGCTGTTATGCTGCTTTTCAGCTGCTTTTCAGCTGCTTTTATGCTGCTTTTCAGCTGCTGTTATGCTGCTTTTCAGCTGCTTTTCAGCTGCTGTTATGCTGCTGTTATGCTGCTTTTCAGCTGCTTTTTTAGCTTCTTACCCGCGCTAGGCGTTGCTGAAGGATTTTCTGAAAAAGGAAATGAGGAAAAATGAAAGAAATTTCGAGAAAAGTTGATAGTTTTCAAATATTGAGACAAATCTTAGACAATCTTTAATCACACCTGATTCATGCGAATGAAACGAGTTGAATTGGCCGCATTTTGCCATCGTTGTTTAGCTGTTGCGCCAGCGGTGACCTAATAAAAGAAAAATGATCAAGAAAAGAGAGAATCTTTAATCAGAAAAGTTTAGTAATTAAGGGGAAAACTTTTAAACATTACCCTAAAGTCTCGAGTATAAGTTCTGCCTTAATTTTACATTCGCTTTAATTGCTTTGAATTTCTTTTTGTTGGGTTTTTATACATTTTTATTGTTATATAAACTTTTATTATTGTTCTTGGAGCGCGGGAAACTACAGGGTGACAGCCTATCACCATTGCTATTTGTTATGGATACATCCAGACGATAGTGTTGAAGAAGACGCTGGAAAGCATCTCTTTCGACCGTCGACGTACACTTTGGCCGGATGAAGAGGCCAGGGAGGGATCCATAAGACTGAGCACCGGAGAGGTGGTGTCTAAAGGTGTCTAAAGGTGTCTAAAGGTGTCTAAAGGGCGGACGCGCCGAGCCACGCCCGGAGCAACAAATAACAGCATAAAATTGCTATAACCCTCAATAAATTTACTTCTATTATTGTTCTTAAAAAGCAAAAAAGTTATGCTGCAGCGGGGTTCGAACCCTCGACACACCGCACCGGAGACAGCCGTCAATTTGCATGCGAAAACCAAACAGAACTTATACTCGCGACTTTAGGGTAGTTTCAATGAAAGTTTTGGTCTATAGGCAGCATTTTGAATGAGTAAGTCATGTTTTGGAGCTTGTCCAACAATAGCTAGATATCCAACAATAGCTAGATGTCCAACAATAGCTAGATGTCCAACAATAGCTTCAAAGAGCACTTTAGAGAGCCAAGATTCCCTAGAATTGCCCAATCGTTCTGTTTTTCTTTTGGCAATAAATCTAGTATGTAATTTAAAAGAAATAGACGTTGAAATCAGATTTTCTTGTTCTTTAATGACTTCTCTGAATGTCACAAGTGAAAATCGGAAATATCTGAATGGCTGAATGCCATTAGGTAAGTTTTGGTGACATTTTGGACTTAAACTGCGTAAAACATATGAAATTTAGTTTATTTTACATCTTGGAAAGATTTTGTCAAGATAGCTCTCAAAAATCGTATAAATGTTGAGAGCTGAGCGACTTTGAACTTTGAAAAGTTATATCAGAGAAAGCTTGATGCAAAAGTAAAAGATTGAATCGATTAGATAATCATAACCCTTTCAGGAGATATCTTAAGATTTACTTCCAGAAAACTCACAACGATCGACTCAATTCTAGCCAATAAGCCAATTTAAATCTTGACTCAATTTTGACCAATCTAGGCTCTATAATTGTTGGTCATTCTGTAGAAAAAACATTATTCTTAGCTCAACTTTTCATTCAAAACCCCCAAGCTAACAGAAGAATTAAATCCTTACGACCACAAAAGATTTAGATTAATAAAAATCTGGGATCTTGCAATCTGGCAATCTGGCAATCTGGCAATCTGGCAATCTGGCAATCTGGCAATCTCACAATCTCACAATCTCACAATCTCACAATCTGGCAATCTGATAAACTAATTTTTAAAAACAAACCTGTGGCATAGATATATTCGCCGGCAAGGTCAAGTTGTGATCTTCGGCTGAAAAGAGAGAGCTTTTGAGACTGTTATTTCAGAAAATTGCATTTGGGTAACTAAACCGAATGGAATCAAACGATTTCACCAAAGAAAGCTATAGTTTTTTTGAATAAATTTATATTTTCCTAATTTTTCCTTTCCTAATTTTTTTTCTTTCCTAGATTTAGAGCTGCTTTTGTCTTGTTTCTACAAAATTATTCATGTTTCTAAAGGTATCTAAAGGTGTTTAAAGGTGATTGTTTTTCAATGACGAACCGCATTTCGTCAACCTTTTCACACATTCCGCCACTCGATACCAGTATTTGGTCGATTTTGGGTTTTTTCTCAGCCATCCATTCTGCAGACTGCTCAAATTTTGAAGAATTGCCGTGAAGAGTTTTTGAAATTGCTAAAAGAAATCTCTATGATTTGAATGGAAAATTTGATTTTAAAAATCGCAAGTTTTCGGTGGTTTAGCGAGTAAATCAAAAAAAAAAATCAAATGGTAGTTTGGGGGGGGGAAGTGGATTTGAATCTTTGTGAATTCGATTTTAAAAGGGAATCTTTTGAAGAGAAAGAGAAAGATAGAGGGGAAATGAAGGAAAAGGAAGGAAATGAAAGAAATGAAAGAGATGAAAGAAATGAAAGAGATGAAGTTACAGAGAGAATCAACTTTGATTAGCTTTTGTGGCTGAGATTTCCATTTTTATAGAGACACTATTTGTGGGTGGGGGGTTTTTTGTTGTTTGTGGATAGGGGGATACGCACAAAAACCTACCCAAATATTGCCCATCGATCGCTGAAATGGTAAATTGAGAAGAGTTATTGAAAGTTTTGCAAAAAAATCGTTTCCCTTTCGACTTTCTCTTTCTACCGTAATCTTGTCTATTTTTTATTGAATCTATCAATCTTTCGATATCTTTTTTCACAAAATCAAACGATCGATTTGATCGTTTGATTAGAATTGGAACCGTATTGGATCCACATATAGATAGAACCATATTGGAACCGTATTGGAACCGTATTGGAACCGTATTGGAACCGTATTGGAACCGTATTGGAACCGTATTGGAACCATATTGGAACCGTATTGGAACCGTATTGGAACCGTATTGGAACCGTATTGGAACCGTATTGGAACCGTATTGGAACCGTATTGGAACCGTATTTGAAACCATATTGGATCCACATATAGATAGAACCATATTGGAACCGTATTGGAACCGTATTGGAACCGTATTGGAACAAACTAGGAACCGTATTGGGACCGTATTGGAACAAAATAGGAACCGAATTGGAACCGTATTGGAACCGTATTGGAACCGTATTGGAACCGTATTGGAACCGTATTGGAACCGTATTGGAACCGTATTGGAACCGTATTGGAACCGTATTGGAACCGTATTTGAAACCATATTGGAACCATATTGGATCCACATATAGATAGAACCGTATTGGAACCGTATTGGAACCGTATTGGAACAAACTAGGAACCGTATTGGGACCGTATTGGAACAAAATAGGAACCGAATTGGAACCGTATTGGAACCGTATTGGATCCGTATTGGAACTAAAAAGGGATGGTATTGGAACCGTATTGGAACCGAATTGGAACCGTATTGAAACCGTGTTGGAACCGTATTAGATCAAAATAGGAACCGTATTGGAGCCGTATTGGAACTGTATTAGATAAAACTAGTAAGCGTATTGGAACCGTATTGGAACCGTAATCAATCAAAAATCAAAAATCAATCAAACAAAAAAAAGTGAATAGATTAAATAAAATAGACTAAGATTACGGTAGAAAGAGAAAAAGGACACGATTTAGAGAAATCGATTAGAGAAAAGGGACACTATTTTAAGCAGGGATTATGGTAGCTTTCTCCTTTCTTCTTTCTCACCATAATATCAACTTTCGCTTGATCAGAATACGGTTTCTCAAAGAATTTGATGAGTACTTCGGTCACTGTCACACAAATATATGTCTCTAAAGCTGCCGTTGATGCACCACCAATTTTCTGGGTTTCGACACGAAGCTGAAAACATAAAGCTTTAGAATAATCTAAATCTATTACATTAATCTACAGAGATCTGTAGAAGTTATCTACAGAGATCTACAGAGAACTACAGTGATCTAAAGAGATCTAGAGAGATCTAAAGAGATCTACAGAGATCTAGAGAGATCTACAGAGATCTACAGAGATCTAGAGAGATCTAAAGAGATCTACAGAGATCTACAGAGGTCTAAAGAGATCTACATAGATCTAGAGAGATCTACAGAGATCTACAGAGATCTAGAGAGATCTAAAGAGATCTACAGAGATCTACAGACATCTACAGAGATCTACAGAGATCTACAGAGAACTCCAGTAATCCGTAGAAGTTATCTACAGCTACGGTAGTTTCCTTGTTCAACAATAATCTACCTTATTGATATCGGCATGCATATTCGACAAGAGATCATTGACATATTCCGGTCGATACGCATCTTTCATTTCAGCGTCTGTGTCGATGTAGCAATGGAGGAGGAATTGAAGGTACGCTGTTTTCACCTAAACATGTGGAATTGTGGAAAATTTGGTGACTTTTTGGTGTTTGTGCATTCAACTAGTCAGAAGATAAGTCAGGTCTGCCTGTAGGCTTGGCTTTTAGCCAAGCCTACAGGCAAAGCCGAGCCAAGGATCGAACCCGGATCGCGCGAGTGAGAGCCAAATGCCGTTAGCCGCTAGAAAGAGAGACGGCAATGGGGTGAGAGGGAAAGGGGTTTTGAAAGGTCATACGTTTCTTTTAAACCTGGCAGCTGTTGCATTGGATACGAGTGTTTCCTGCAGGGTTTAAAACGAAAACCAACCTCAATCAAGCAATCAGGCGAAGTGACGACTCGAACAATGTGATCCATCGGGATTTCACTAGCGCATTTCAACTCAGTGGCTCCATTTTTCCCACGAGTGCACAAAGCGAGCAATCTGAAAGGATCGAATGCAATCAACTAATAGATACCTAGATCCTAGATCCTAGTATACTAGTAATCTAGCTAAAAGGCCTTCTGTCTGTCTTACTGTCTTATTGTCTGTCTTACTGTCTGTCTTACTGTCTTCTCTGTCTTGCTGTCTGTCTTTCTGTCTGTCTTTCTGTCTGTCTTACTGTCTGTCTTACTGTCTGTCTTTCTGTCTGTCTTTCTGTCTGTCTTACTGTCTGTCTTTCTGTCTGTCTTTCTGTCTGTCTTACTGTCTGTCTTACTGTCTGTCTTACTGTCTGTCTTTCTGTCTGTCTTACTGTCTGTCTTACTGTCTGTCTTTCTGTCTGTCTTTCTGTCTGTCTTACTGTCTTCTCTGTCTTACTGACTATCTGATTCATAGCTAGCTCACTTACTTGACCAATTCGATGTGATATTTTAATTTGTGCGTATTGTCAAGATACGGTGGAGCGGCTCGCATCATTTCCTAAAGACTAGAAATTTTGAAAAATCGATTTTTCCAAACCATCAACTCTTCATATGATGAAGAGTCAGTGTAGAATTGGCGAACTTCATCAGAAGCTGAACAAATCTAGAGAAAGAGAATTAGGAGAGGCTTTAATCTTTAGCTAAATCTTTAACTAAATCTTATCCATACCTCAGTGGCCACTTTATCCTGACTCGTTTCGATTTCTTTATCCGCTACGCAAACGAGCGATTGGAGAAGCTCGAGATAGATGGCGTTTCGTTGCTGAAAGTAAATGCTTAATGAATTCAATGAAATTTAGTGTCCAGTAGGTTAAAAGGCAGTCTTAAACACGAGCTGATCGGGATCTTGTTTGAACAATCATCAAGCAAAGTATAATACCGTATCTTCTCTAATAGTAGTGCACCCAGCCGAGCCGAGTTGATGACTATTTTACGGCTTTCAAAGTTTTCGCAGAAGCTCAACCCTCAAATCCCCCACAAGATCTCATCATCAGCTACATTTTCCGACCGCACATCGATAGGTTGTGATAAGTGGTTCTCGAGATTTCGAGGAATTTAGGCGACGCTCTGGGTGCACTACTATTAGAAAAAATACGGTATTCCAGAAACCATTCAACGCAGAATTTCACGCTGAATCCTAATTTGTTTTTCGTTTTTTTATGGAGCACTCTGTCAAAAGTTATAATTCAAAAAGATTGGAATTCAAAAATCCAGTTTATAAGCAGATTCCCTAGAGGCCCCTAGCAGCAGTGGTGGCCGAGTGGTAGTGAATTAGAATACACAAAAAACCACTGTGTCACTCTGTAATAACAAAAGAATTTCAACTGAGTGTAGTGGCTAAATGACATACCGTATTTTCTCTAATACTAGTGCACTCCGGCGAGCCGAGTTGATGACTATTTTACGGCTTTCAAGGCTTCTGCAGAAGCTCAACCCTCAAATCCCCCACAAGATCTCATCATCAGCTACATTTTCCGACCGCACATCGATAGGTTCTGATAAGTGGTTCTCGAGATTTCGAGGAATTTAGGCGACGCTCTGGGTGCACTACTATTAGAGAAAATACGGTAACTAGAAATCCGATAAACAGAACAATTCAACGACAAACAAGTCAAACAAATCAATCTTTAGCTATCCTTTGAACAAAAATGCGACAACGACACCAAAATTTGGGGAGTTTTGGTTTGATATGGTTTTGCACCGGGTGAATTTTCGTTTTTTGGCTGTTACATTTTCCCTATTCATGCTATGTCGACGATTTTTGGGATTTGAAGGGTTATTTTTGGCCCTGAATCTAACTAGGTTTTCAGTTTTTTATTAGAGAAAATACGGTAACTAGAAATCCGATAAACAGAACGATTCAACGCGAAACAAGTTAAACAAATCAATCTTTAGCTATCCTCTGGTGTACTTTGTGCTCATTATCTACTAAACACAGTCCCTCTAGTGCACTCAACCTTATTCTCGATGAGATTCACAACATGAGCGATTAAACCCTCAGAAACATTTTGACTCAATTCGCGATTATTTCGATAGATTGACACCACAGTGGCCACTTCTTCCACCTAAATTTTTAGAGATTTTAGAGAGATTTTAGAGATTGTAGAGATTTTAGACTACTCTAATACTGTAATAGTAATAGACTACTGTAATAGAATACTGTAATAGACTACTGTAATAGACTACTGTAATAGACTACTGTAATAGACTACTGTAATAGACTACTGTAATAGAATACGGTAATAGACTACTGTAATAGGCTACTGTAATAGAATACGGTAATAGACTACTGTAATAGACTACTGTAATAGAATACTCTAATAGACTACTGTAATAGACTACTGTAATAGACTACTGTAATAGAATACGGTAATAGACTACTGTAATAGAATACGGTAACAGACTACTACTGTAGTCTACTACTACTGTAACTTGTCTACTACAGTAATCCCCATTTCTTTTCCCCTCACCGTTTCCACTCTCAAATACCCTTCTTTCGCGTCTTTCTCGATAGAGACAAATTTCTGCAATCGGCTTTGATTCTCCTGGAAATTCGCTGTAAATCTTTTCTGAAAATTTCTACAATACCTTATTATTTTTGCAAAATGATCGCAAAAATTCGTGAGAAAGCGTGATCAATTTCGGCATTTCTGTATCGTTTTTCTAAATTGTTTCTTTTAAGTAATCCAATAGATAAATAATCCAATAGATAATATTAATCTAAACCTTCAGGCAGAAATATATGTCGTAACCGTTTACGAAATTCACCCGCTAACGAATGAGGGTATTTTCGGGCATCCAATCAAAAAGTCACGCACATAAAAAACGTTCATAATACATATATTTTATAATAAATTTTTCAAATTAGCTCATTTGGTTCAGTAGAAAAAATTTTTTGAGCTCCCAAAGTTTAGGTTGGCTAAAATGGCTATAAAAAATTTTCCACTCAGCCAAAAAACTTGCCTAATAGCTCATTTTGTAGCCAATTTGATGTAGTTTCTTAAAGTAAAGCCATCTAAAACAATTTTTCGTTGAAAGTAGGAGAAAGAGGGCGAGGAACAAATTCAGGGCAATTCTCAAATGTGAAAACAGCGACCGAGTTCAACTGAAGTCGTCCCTCGCCCTCTTTCTCCTAGCTTTGCAAAAACAAATGTTTATTGTAGCTTTACTTTAAGAAACTACATCAAATTGGCTACAAAATGAGCTATTAGGCAAGTTTTTTGGCTGAGTGGAAAATTTTTTATGGCTATTTTAGGGCATTTTTGAACCTAAACTTTGGGGGCTCAAAAAAATTTTTCTATTGAACCAAATGAGCTAATTTGAAAAATTTATTATAAAATATATGTATTATGAACGGTTTTTATGTGGGTGACTTTTTGATTGGATGCCCGGAAATATCCTCATTTCTTAGCGGCTGAATTTCGTAAACGGCTATGACAAACGGCTGAATTTCGTAAACGACTAAACGAGAAAACAAAAGCAAACTCGGATATCTGCTCAATTTCTCAGCACATTGCTTCAGAACAGGTCTGTGAAGTTTTCTTCATTGTTTGCTTTGTTGAAAGAGTCGAGGCGGGGATCGAACCCGGGATGACGCGATCGAGAGCCAAGCGCGCTAACCGTTAGGCCAAAGAGAGGCAGCGGCGGGGAGGGTGGGAAAAGGGTTTTGAAAGGGGATTGGCCAAAATTGGTCAAAATTGGTCAAAATAAAGCTCTCAAAGCTCTTAAAAGATTAACCTTATCATAAGGGACACTGAGGAATTGTAGGACCACTTCATAGACTCTCATATTGCGCAAAAGTTGTTGATTCATCACATCCGGTTTGCATTCTTTATAACAAAGTTGTTTGATGCGAACGAGAATCTGAAAATTGCCGGGATTTTCGAGATTTTCGAAATTTTTCGAGATTTTCATGCTTTCTAGGCTTACTTAGAGAAATTAAATTAAAAATTGAAAAAAAAAGATCGTTAGCTATCGTTTAGCACTCTTTATCTAAGTGTTTATCAATTTAAAACTTCAACAAGAGTACAAAAGCTAAAGAAAAGTGTCAATACTGTCAATACTGTAATAAACTGTCTAGAATACCTGTCTAATAAGTGGATAAGCGATCAACGGAGCTCGATCGCTCAACTCTTGCAAAGCCAACGCTGAATCATCTCGATCTTCACCAAGAAGTAACTAAAAAACTCACTTTCTTTGGTATTTTCTAAATCTAAATCTAAATCAAATCTAAATCTAAATCAAATCTAGATCCAAATCTAAATCAAATCTAAATCAAATCTAAATGTAAATCTAAATCTAAATCTAAATCTAAATCAAATCTAAATCTAAATCTAAATCCAAATCTAAATCCAAATCTAAATCCAAATCTAAATCTAAATCTAAATCAAATCTAAATCAAATCTAAATCAAATCTAAATCAAATCTAAATGTAAATCTAAATCCAAATCTAAATCTAAATCAAATCTAAATCTAAATCAAATCTAAATCCAAATCTAAACCAAATCCAAATCCAAATCAAAATCAAAATCAAAATCAAATCAAATCAAATCAAAATCTAAATCAAATCCAAATCTAAATCCAAATCTCAAACCTTATTTAATAAATGTGCACAATCAGCCGCAATCCCGGGGTAATGTTGATCAATAATTTGACATAAACTTTTCATACAATCATCGTTGTTGAATCCTTTTGAGTGATGAAGATTCACTCCTTCAAGAGTTGTTTTTGTGCTAAAATTCGAAATAGATTATAATTTTAGCTGTAAAATTTCGATTTTTATCTATTTCAGTATTTTAAACTAAAAAAATTAAAGAATTTAGACTTCTTTTTAACCTTTCTTCAGACAAATGGTTAAAATCACAACCGCCAATAGGTTTTACGATCTTGAAAACCTTGAGGCATTAAATTTTTAACATTAAATCTTCTTTGAGAATCGTTTACAGTCAAATTTCAATGAATTTCAATGAATTTTAATGAATTTCAATGAATTTTAATGAATTTTAATGAATTTCAATGAATTTCAATGAATTTTAATGAATTTTAATGAATTTCAATGAATTTTAATGAATTTCAATGAATTTCAATGAATTTTAATGAATTTCAATGAATTTCAATGAATTTTAATGAATTTTAATGAATTTTAATGAATTTCAATGAATTTCAATGAATTTTAATGAATTTTAATGAATTTCAATGAATTTTAATGAATTTCAATGAATTTCAATGAATTTTAATGAATTTCAATGAATTTCAATGAATTTTAATGAATTTCAATGAATTTCAATGAATTTTAATGAATTTCAATGAATTTCAATGAATTTTAATGAATTTCAATGAATTTCAATGAATTTTAATGAATTTCAATGAATTTCAATGAATTTTAATGAATTTTAATGAATTTTAATGAATTTCAATGAATTTTAATGAATTTTAATGAATGAAATAATTTTCATGTAATAATGTTGTTTAGAAGAATACCCGGATCGCAACCTCTTCTCTTCTCCTGGATCCGAATTCGTTAATGAATGATTTCGATCTCCGTGCACCCATAACTCTGATTTCTCCGTTAAATTCTTTAGAATGAACAGATCACGATCGACCTGGAAACAAGGGGGAATTCGTTTCAATAGCTTTGCTGTCAAACAGAGCTTTAACAACTTTAACAACAGCTTTATCACTTTCGAATTGTTTAAGCCTTTGCTTTACTTGTTTAGCTTTATTACTTGATTAGCTTTATTACTTGTTTAGCTTTTTACTTTTTTAGCTTTGTTACTTGTTTAGCTTTGCTACTTGTTTAGCTTTGTTACTTGTTTAGCTTTGCTACTTGTCTAGCTTCATTACTTGTTTAACTTCATTACTTGTCTAGCTTCATTCCTTGTTTAGCCTTTTACTTGTTTAGCTTTGTTACTTGTTTAGCTTAATTACTTGTCTAGTTTTATTCCTTGTTTAGCTTCTTTACTTGTTGAGCTTCACTCCTTGTTTAACTTCATTCCTTGTTTAACTTCATTACCTGATTACTTTCTCTTCATTTCACTCACTTGTTTATAATTCTGTACATCGTCATTTGACACAAGCAACTGTACTTGTTTCAAATCATCCAACAACTCTTGATATTGCGTGAAATGACGAAAGAGAACTTTCAACGCGATACTCGTCAATGGAGAATAGTCACTGAAAAGAGAGAATTGAATTAAAGAAAGGAGCAAAAATCCTCTAATTCTAAGCTGCTCTTAAAAGCAGCCTTAAAGCTAAAAAGCTTAACAAAAACTAGCTCCCACATTGTCCCTGACTTCTAAATCGAAATCTTTTTCTTCTCAAACACTCTTTAAGTTCAGTTCAGCGTTTTCAGAAATCCTGACCTCATTGTCATTTGCAAGAGTATAGCCAAAAGCAATCTTCCCTCTCCTCCATCCAAATTCAATTCACTTTCCGTTGTGCTAAAGATTTCCTCGCATAACTCTTTTGCCACATTCTCGTTGATATCTAAAGAATTTTTTTTAGTTGAATCTTTCTTTTTGACAATCTTTTGAAAGCAAAAAGATTGTAAAGGTGTTATTTTAAAAAAAGACGGTTTATTTTTTAAGTATAAAAACATGATTGTGAATCTAAAAATCTTAATCTATTGTCAATCTAATGTCAATCTATTGTCAATCTAATGTCAATACTGTAATCTAATCTAAAACAAAAGAAATTGGAACTATTTTTTTTTAAAAAAACCTATAAAAATTTGATTGTAAACAGTCAAAAAATAAAATTTCAATTGTTTTCTTTACTTTCTTTACTTTTCTTTACTCTTCTTTACTCTTTTGATGCTTCAAATTTGTCAAATTTATTTTTTACTGTTCAATCTGTTAAAATTCAATTTCAATTTCGTTTTGACATCTAAACAAATCCTTAGCAAATATTATATAGCTAAAAATAGAAAATATCTAAAAATTGTCTAGTTTCTAAGACACTTTTCCGTTTTTAAAGAGAATAGCTTTTTTGTTGAGCCACAAAAAACCACTGTGTCACTCTGTAATAACAAAAGAATTTCAACTGAGTGTAGTGGCTAAATGATATACCGTATTTTCTCTAATACTAGTGCACTCCGGCGAGCCGAGTTGATGACTATTTTACGGCTTTCAAGGCCTCCGCAGAAGCTCAACACTTAAATCCCCCCACAAGTTCTCATCGTCAGCTACATTTTGCGACCCCACATCGATAGGTTCTGATAAGCGCTTCTCGAGATTTCGAGGAATTTAGGCGACGCTCTGGGTGCACTACTATTAGAAAAAATACGGTATTCCAGAAACCATTCAACGCAGAATTTCACGCTGAATCCTAATTTGTTTTTCGTTTTTTTTATGGAGCACTCTGTCAAAAGTTATAATTCAAAAAGATTGGAATTCAAAAATCCAGTTTATAAGCAGATTCCCTAGAGGCCCCTAGCAGCAGTGGTGGCCGAGTGGTAGTGAGTTAGAATACAAGGCAAAGAGCTGAAGGCAAGGTCTCTGGTTCGATTCCTCGTCGAGCTTTTTTGGATTTGTAAAGTTAGATGTTCTCTATTTCAGGTTTATTTTAAACTCTTATTCATAAAATATTTACTTTTAACTCCTAACCTCAAAGAGTTATCATTAAAATCGAAAAGAGATAAGCATATTGGCTTTTTTTCTGGTTGACTTACTAGCATTATCGTGTAGATTTCCATCTTCATCACATGGGAAACGTTTCTTGAACCACGAGAGAACAACAGTGATACGATAATCCCTTCGTACATCCATAATAAACTAAAAAAATCTTAATGACAAATGAAATAAGATTAACTTTAACCTGTAAAATCTCAGCAACGATTAGCTTTGTCTTCAGAATGAGTTGTTGACTTTCTTTTGCGTGCGCTGATTGCTCGAGGGTTTTCTTTGTTTCAATTGATGTTGGTCTAGAGGAATTCTTTCGTTAAACAAAGCAATTCAAGCAGTTACAGCTTAAAGTACTTGAAGATCTGCCACTAACCGATGCACTGTGTGATCAGTCTTCGACGCCAACATTCCCCTCGTCACTCTCGTTATCATATTCATCCCTTCTTGTACATTGTGCGCTAAATTGAAATCTGAGCTCAGAGTTGTGGAGAGGAAAATTTTTCAGCTTTTTTTTCTAAGAAAAATTCATTTCAAACCCCAACCGGTATTTTGTTTATTCGGCGGACTCGAGTCAACGATGGCGAGCAAATTTTTCGCTAATTGGAGTAAATGAGCAAAAGTGTAAAAGCCGAATTGAGCTAGAGAACGAGCAAGAGTGACCATCTAGATGTATAGATGTTAGATAAAACCATCAACGGCTCTAATACTTACCTCAAAAGTGAGCTTATTCATATGAACACTTGGGCCCGATGCTTTCAGCACAGCGCCGTCAGCGCTACTCGATCGTAAACCCGCCAAATAGTTGTCGACAGTGGAAAGGATCTAAAAAGATCTGTATCTAGATATTTAGATCTAAAATCTGTTTCATTGAGAGTCTAGAATCAATAGCCAAGCCAGGCCTAGCCAGGCCTAGCTACAGGTTTCGATCTAGAGGCTAGTCCTGCTTTAACAACAGGCTAGTCCCGCTTTAACACATGCTGCTTTTGGATCACTCTGATGTACTGGATGTTAAAAGCTATCCAGATACCTATTTCTATCATTCTCTATCATACAAACCTCTCTCGCAATCCTCTCATCCAATCTCGCTCTTCCCCCATCCACATAACCTTTTGTCCCATTTGTATCGTAGCTGAAATTCGCATTTATCAATTTGCATATTGAAATTACGTGGAAACGGTGACTTGTTCAGGGATATCTCTCCATAATCTCGCGTGTCGGACAGCTGAATGTGGACTTCCCTTAACAACATGGAGATGAAGAAGAAGACGAGCAAAAGAAGCACGAAGATCAGCCGGGAGACGACCATCCGACATACATCTGTGAAAAGAGGATAGAATTCAACTCTACTATTGCAAAAACTACGATTTAACAACTTGAACTCTATTCTACCTATGAAACAGTTCAACAAACATTTTACACTTCATTGTCAACCCCTCTCCACAACCTCTCCACAATGGCTTTCCTATGACTATTTCATCATCCCATCAAATTCCCTTATTGCTTATCAAATTGCTTATCAACTCTTGCATAACTCTTTCAAACGTACTTTTCTACACACGGCTGTTTTTGAAATTTGAATTTCAAATTTGATTCAAACGCGGTTGATTTGAAATCCTTCATAAACAATTTTAAAAACAAACAAGAAAAAGAAAAACGTTTGCCGAGAGTTGGACTCGAACTGGGACAAGAGATTTAATAGTTCTGTAGTCTGTAGTCTGTAGTCTATCAAACTATCCTCTAAACCACAAAGGCATTTACTCCAGCAGCGTTTGAAAGCCTAAAAAGCTAAAGCCTTACTTTAGCACAAGTCTTGCCGGTAATTCATGCGATATATTCATAAGCCTTTTATCTGGCGGTGGATCGATCGCCAAATATTGTTGCTCTTGACACATTTGGGCTAATAAATCAAGTTGATGTCTGAAATTTCAAATGAATATATGAATCACATCACACTAACCGATAATAATCAAGTATTTCCGCATCTTCTTCACTACTCAGAGAATCTTCAGCGATTTCGACAAGTCTCTTTCTTTCTCCTTGCCACGCGATGAATACCTCGTCTTCATCCTTTAAAAATAATGTAAGTATTGTAAATTTCGAGTTCTCTAGTTTGTATTTGACTTTTTACTACTATAAGTCAACTATTAGGGTGGTGCAAGGGCTTTCTTTAGAAATCGGTGTCGACATTGATCGGCAGACACCTAAATTCTTAGGGTGGTGCAAAAGAAACTGCCGATTTGACGGTAAATTCAAAAAAAAAGATGGCGTTCGATGGTGACACGATAACAATGGAATATTTTCGCAAGATCTCGAACAGATTGACATGGATCGGCCTGAATAACGTCCCTCAGCTTGGCTTCGTTCACGACTTGTGGCATCGAACCGTGCTCGTAATCTTCCAAAGTCTCGTCTCCCTCTCGGAATCGTTGAAATCAAGTCTGGCACTGCCTGAGAGACAAATTGCCATCTCCAAAAGCAGAGAACGATGCGATTTGGCAGCAGACTTTCCAATTTTGAAGTTAAACAGTAATGCTGCTCGTAGCACAAATGGAATATTTTCGCAAGATCTCGAGCAGATTGAGATGGATCGGCCTGAATAGCGTCCCTCAGCTTGGCTTCGTTCACAACTTCTGGCCTCGAACCGTGCTCGTAGAGAGACACTGCCTGAGAGACAAACTCCCATCTCCGAAAGCAGAACAGAGAGAACGATGCAATTCGGCAGCAGACTTGGTTCCTTTTCTCTACAAATTTGGTCCTCTTTTCTCTTTTGGTTCCTTGTGAGAAAACGATGCGATTCGGCAGCAGACTTTCTAATTTTGAAGTTAAACAGTAATGCTGCTCAAACTTTTGCTCGACCATCATCGAAATAAAAATATAAGCATTTTTAAATAAAATAAACAACAATCAAAAAATTCTAATTTCGAAATAAATAGCAAACAAATATGCGAATAAAACATAAAAAAAAATAATGCCGTTAGCATCGCTCGTTTCTGATAAATGAGAGCTGATACCCATCGACAGTTTCTTTTGCACCACCCTAATAGTCATGACCTTGACTACCGTCTACCGTAAACTCGAATCTCTTTTACGTACTTTAGGCTCAAACTTTTGCAAAACGAACCCTTTCTGGCTTCTTTAAAAAGAAGAAACTGACCGCACTGACTTCAGAAAGAAGAAAAGTCAGTAAACAAAAAGCCTCACCAAAATCGTGTCCATAAAAATGTTTCGATTTGTCTCGGAAAGCACAGAGTTACAGATCAATTCCTGGATTTTCTTGTTCGCTTCTCCCCGACAAACGCACAAATCCGCGAGATAGTCAAGGAATCTAAAGGTTTTGATTGAAATGAAAAAAAAGCAAAACCTTTCTCCTCACTTTCCCTGTCGATTGTTTCTGACCAACTCCACAAATCTTTCAACATGATCTTTTTTCACGTATTTCTCGAGAAGTTTTGGATTATTGTGTAGGACAGCGGTCATTGTGTCTTCAGCCATTAGATCGAAACCGATCTGAACAAAGTACGATTTGACTAAGCTGGATAAAGACATGGATTTGTGCTCTTACTCGCGTACTTTATGGCTTACAGTAATCCACTGTAAGGCTTGGCTACAGTAATCCATTTTAGAATCCGGCTACAGTAATCCATTTTAGAATTCGGCTAAAGTAATCCATTTTAGAATTCGGCTAAAGTAATTCACTGTAAAGCTCGGCTACAGTAATCCACTGTAGAATCCGGCTACAGTAAACCATTGTAGAACCGGTTTACTATAGAACGGGTTATTGCAGAGCCGGATTACTGTAGCTGAGCTTACTTTACGGTTATGGTAGCTGGAAAAGAAAAAATTCTCAAGAAATCTAGTTCGAAAGGAATTCCCGTACCTGTTCTTGAATTTGCCCGAATTTCTCCGCAAGAAACTCCTGATTTTTTCGATAGCCGACTTGAGAATATCTAGAAATTAAGAAAGATTATTAAGAAATTATTCAGAAACATTTTTAAATCAATTAGAAATTAAATCTATTAGAAATTTCTGAATTTTCATTTCAAATCTCTATTTGTAACGGAAAGAAGTCTCGAAATAAGGATATGACATTTTTGACAGACTATGACAGACTACGCAACACTCCGCACCGTCATTATGGGGGTGCGGTACTATTACAGTATTTACGGTATGACATTTTTGGCACTTGCTTGAATTTGCTTTAGAAATTTTAGCTCTTAAATGAGTCTAGATTTGGGTTAAATCTATCTTGAATCTACCTTAAATCGAATTCTATCTAAATCTACATCATACCGTAAATACTGCAATAGTACAGTCGCGTAGTCGCAAAAGTTTTCTAGTATTTCATTTTTTTCAAAGCGCCCGTACTTTCAAAAAATGCGTCTTTGGTATCAAAAAATAGCCCTGAATTTCAGCTATTTTTTGATACCTAAGCGCGCATTGTAGCATAAACCAGTGTCGAGAAAAACTCGTTTTTTCGGGATGGTTGCGTAGTCTAACTTTAAACATCCCGTTCTCTGCGCTGCTTTATGATACAATGCGCGCTTTGGTATCAAAAAATAGCTGAAATTCAGGGCTATTTTTTGATACCTAAGCGCCGATTGTAGCATAAACCAGTGTCGAGAAAAACTCGTTCAAAGCTAGACTACACAACACTCCGCACCGTCATTATGGGGGTGCGGTACTATTAGAGTATTTACGGTAGGTCCGGTAGACACTGGTTTAAGCTACAATGCGCGCTTTGGTATCAAAAAATGGCCCTGAATTTCAGCTATTTTTTGATATCTAAGCGCGCATTGTAGCATAAACCAGTGTCGAGAAAAACTCGTTCAAAGCTAGACTACGCAACACTCCGCACCGTCATTATCGGGGGTGCGGTACTATTACAGTATTTACGGTATGACATTTTTGCACTTGCTTTAGAAATTTTACCTCTTAAATGAGTCTAGTTTTGGGTTAAATCTATCTTGAATCTATCTTAAATCGAATAAAATCTAAATCTACATCATAGATACCTTAGCAGACTGTAACACATTTGGAACATCGTTTTCCAGACTTCATTCCTTGGTTCATTCAATTCTTGAGGAGAATTGAGAAGTGGTGGGATCTCTGTTTGTCCTTGACGCGGTAGGAAAGGAGCTTTCAACAGTTTAAAGACCTAAATTTATGACTTTAATTAGTAAACTTGATCTTGATCTTCGCCCACTTGATCAAGCACTTCTTGTTCTCTCAGCAATTTCTGTCGATCACGATTCGGCGAAAAGTCATTGATTTTCAACGGATCGATCATATGATTTTGAATGTTCGTCACGAAAAAAATGCATTCAGTCAACAATTGGATTGTTACACTGAAAAGGGGATTTGAAGATAAAGCCAGTGTATTCTGTGCTCTCATTTCTGTCCACACTAACTAGAGCGGCTCGATTATGCCAGAAAGCGTGCGTTTTTCAGAGTACAAAGTACACTAATGCAATCGTTTCTCCACTCACATCAATGGCTCTTTTCCTCCTTTTCCTGCTTTAATATGTTCAACGAAATTTCTCAAAGCTCGACAGGCATCATTAGCGAAATCGAGATCTCGGACCTGAGTTTTGATTGGGATTTGGAAAGGGATTCTGATATTAGCTTCATAGATATTAAGCTTAATAGCTGAACATCTAGCAAGCTTAGTAGCTGAACATCAAGCCTAGTAGCTGAATATCTTTAAATTACAAGTCCTTTACCTCGGTGGGTGAAACGGGCAAAAGAGCAAAAGTCTCTTTGTCAATTCGGTGATTCTCACACAAAACTCGGACCCATCCCTTTTCAACTTTGCTAAAAAATATTAGAGAAATGGATTTCTGTTTCTGATTTCTGTTTTACCTTTGAAAATAGAGATTCGCTTTATCATTTGGATTCGTCGAGTGAATGTATGTTGAAGTTTTTGGATGATAGAGACGGACAAAGGATTTCGTGGGTACGTCGGTGTTCTGGAAATCGTCTAGAAATCGAATGCAAAGTGTGGCAGATCGAATGCAAAGTAAATAAGTTTCTTTGGATGCTTTTTTCTGAATTGATTATCGCTTTTTTAGACCTTTGTGATTGTGGATGCTTCTAAACGAAAAAGCAATTTCGGATCAGCTTCAGGGAATTCCGAGGAAATCGGCGCCAAAACGAATTGATTCGTTGGATTCGGCTCATCTAAAAGGAAATCCTTTTTCTTAGAGGATTATTTGGATTTAGAAGAGCTTGCTGAATAGCTTTAGATAGCTTTAGAAAGCTTTAGATAGCTTTGGATAGCTTTAGAAAGCTTTAGAAAGCTTTAGATAGCTTTAGAAAGCTGAATAACTATTCTATTAACTGAATAACTATTCTCTTAACTGAATAAATAAATTCAGCTTTTATTTACATTTAATGGCTAGCTGAATAGCTTGCTTTAGCTTTAGATTTAACTGAAATATCTTCAACTTTTGAGGTTCAACTTCAACTTCAATCAATTCAACTTCAACTTCAACTTCAATCTGAATTTAAACCTCTAAAACTCACCCAAAATGTTTGATGGTGGAACGAGAAGCTCTTTTGTTCTGTAATTGTAATAATATCTTTTATATTAATTGCTTTGCTCAGCTTTGATTAGAGCAAAAACTAAATTTGAATTATTTCAATAAAAAAAAAACGATAAACGATAAAACTTTTAGTGAATTGAGATTAGAGGTGCATTTCTAGAGTCAATTTTTAAATGGATTCATTTTAAATCAAAAATAACCGCTACCAATTACAGTTTTCATCTTATTAGCTCAATTTTTATATTATTTAACGAGGAATTTTTCATTTTCCTTCTCAAATCAATCAGCTCATTCAAAAACATTAAAAAATTAAATAATAAGCAATTGAAAAAAGATGTCTTTTAGAAAATCGATTAACTGAGGAAAGGACTTTAACTAAGAAACTAAGAAAAAGCTGGAATTAGAGCCGAGTTTCGTTTCTTTTCTCTCTCTCTCTCTCTCTCTCAAAACTTTACCGAATGATCGGACGTTTCCGATGCGGGATTTTCTCTGGCTCTTCGCTAGAAAACTTTTATAAATACAAGAGCCTTAAGAAGCTAATCTGTTTTGATTTATCATTGAATCAACCCTAATCTCCTCCCAACCACCACCGACATCTATACTGGGATCCGAGACGCGACTAACGTCTCGCCTCGGCCCCTCTGAGACCCTTCGCTCACAATACCTTCCTTGCCAAGCAACTCAAATTTACATACTTCAACTTCATCCTTGAAAACATTAAAGGAAAAAAGTTTGGAACGGACGCGAATCGAACCCGACACTCCCTTAGAGCGATCATTTTGTAGACGGGACGCTAACCACCTCGACCACCCCTCCCAAGGGCCGCCGTAGGAAAAAAGGGGCGTGGCTAAGTGGTTTTTCTGATTTGATGGGTTTTTGATGAAAAACTTGTTTTGACCAAAAAGGATGTACCTATTCATTTTTAATTCCCTATCCATTAAAAAAAAGTTTGTCGAAATCGGTTCATGTGGAGCCGAGATTCAGAGTGTGACGGACGGTCGGACAGACAGACAGCGGGACAGACAGACAGACAGACGGACGCTCGGACAGACACACAGACGGACGCTCGGACAGACACACAGACAGCCGGACGGAGAGACAGACGGAGAGACAGCCGGACGGTGAAACAGACGGAGAGACAGACGAACGGACAGACAGACAGACATACAGACAGCCGGAGGGACGAATAGACAGACAAACGGACAGACAGACTGACTGACTGACTGACAGACAGACTGACTGACTGACTGACAGACGGACAGACAGGCAGACGAACGGACGGACAGACAGATAGACAGACAGCCGGACAGCCGGACAGACACTTTTCTTTTATATATAGCAGATTCTTCAGGCTATTAGCAGTAAGGAGTAAAACCAGGTCAGACTTCTGGCTGATCTACCGTAAATACTGTGATGTTTCAAGTCCAGTAAAGTAAAATTATTCAATTGCTTGGAGAAATGTACACAAAAAGCTAGACTCACTTGGTTTTCGCTAAGCTCATCCGCCGATCCATCGGCTCTTTTTTCATATGTGACAATGGTATAACGGTCAAGTACATATCGGTGGCCAAATGCTTGAATCGATATTGCTCTCTCCATTTCGCCGATCCTCCACGAAACGCATCCTTTTGTTGAACCTAGAAAAAGAAATTCGAAGAATTTTCTCGAAACGCAACCCATCTCGTGCAGTAAAAGTCGATTTCGGTGCCCCAGATGGGTTGCGTTTACGCAAAAAAATTTGCACCCAATAAGTATTAGTGGGGGAAAAATTTGAGTGCAAAATTTTAAATTCTCAAAAATTTTCAAGCAAAAAGCGTGCGTTTTCTATTAAGCACTCTGTGCAAAAAAAATAAACGAGCAAAATGTTTTCAAATGGAAATTTGTTATGCAATTGTTATGCAATTGTTATGCAAATGTGAGTACGTTATTCTGGAGCACCGGATGAAGCAAAACTTCCGACTAAACAATTGATTAGTTCAAAAGATATTCAGTTATTCGATTCGTTCATTAGCTTTTCGGGAAATTTGTGTTGTTTTTTTTTGTTCTTTTCACACTTACAATTCCATGATTTTGATTCTCTTCAAAAGAGGAAACTTTCTAAAAAATGGATAAAATTTACATAAAAATGGGGAATCTGGTAGGGAATGGTGTAAAAAAATGGTGAAACCTGGTGTTCCAGTGAAACCTGGCTCCAGCGAAGCCCTGGCTCCAGCGAAGCCCTGGCTCCAGCGAAGCCCTGGCTCCAGCGAAACCCTGGCTCCAGTGAAACCTGGCTCCAGTGAAACCGAAACCGAATACTGTAAATGGTTCCGAGTTGGATTTGTACTGATTTTTGAAGAATTACTGTAGTCATTGTGGACAAGGGTTACTGTAATTCTATTCATCTTTTTACTGTAATGAATATCCCTATTCATTTGTTTGTTGTGACTCGGATTACTGTAATCCGGGGTATGCACTACCATGACCCACTTGTATCTCCCATAAAGCCCGACTCGATGTCGCGTCTGCAGCTGAAGGTCGATTCGTCATTCGCAAAAAGACTACATCATCCTGGAAAGCTTCGAATCGAAACCGAATGGGAATCGAATGGAAACCGAATCGGAATCGAATCGGTATCGAATGGAAATCGAATGGAAACCAAATCGGAACCGAATGGGAATCGAATCGGAACCAAATCGGAATCAAATGGAAACCAAATCGGAACCGAATGGGAATCGAATCGGAACCAAATCGGAATCAAATCGGAACCAAATCGGAATAGGATATTATTATCCAAGCTTAACAGATAAAGCCTCGAATACCATAATCCGGTTGTTTAAAGTTTCCTCACCATAGCCACCCCCTTTTCTTCCACCGTATCCAACGTGAGAAATGTTTGCTGATCGGCGTGGAATAAACGGACGACATCGCCCTGAAATTGATGGGCAAATGTGTGCACTAGAAGAAATGTGTTTATAAATTTTTGAGATCACAAAGACACGTAGACCTTGTGCTCGTGTGTAAACGCATTCTTTCTGGCACTCTCAACCTTGTTAGATGTGTGCCAGAAGGGGTCTGTTTACAAGAAAAATTCTCTCACAATGTACACAGCAATTCCTTGCTTTCTTCCTTCCTTTCTTCCTTCCTTTCTTCCTTCCTTTCTTCCTTCCTTTCTTCCTTACCGATTTCACGACATCATGTTGATTCTCATTGTAAAGCAAAAACATAAACAATTGCCATTCAGTCACTTCATTCAGGCAATTCACCTAAAACAAGACAAATGTAAATTCAAATTCAAATTCAAATTCAAATCCGAATTCGCTCCCAACACTTGTTAGTTAAATTTGAAATGAAATTTTTGAGTCCAAATAGTTTTCAGATAAGGTTTAGGGGATTGGGGAGATCGGGATGGCTCACCTCAAAATATGAAACATCGGGGGACTTTAGAAAAAAAGTTATAGATATAAGATATGAATAGTTTTTAATAAATCGAAACCTCGGCTGCCGTTTCGTGATCGGGCAGGCGCTGTTGGGAGAGGTGGAGTTGCGGCTTCACATGACCGGCGGCGGGCGTTTGACTCACAGCCGAGTAGGGGATCAGCGAGATTTTGTTGCCCGCAGCTACCTACAATTTCATAGACTTCAAATTTTATAGACACTTGTAAATTCTTTCTTGTTTTCTGTTTAGTTTTACACTTAAACTTTAAAGCTATTAGGTTAGCAAATACCGTAAATACTATAATAGTACCCCACCGCCCATAATGACGGTGCGGAGCGTTGCGTTGCGTTGCGTAGTCTAGCTTTGAACGAGTTTTTCTCGACACTGGTTTATGCTACAATGCGCGCTTATTTATCAAAAAATAGCCCTGAATTTCAGCTATTTTTTGATACCAAAACGCATTTTTTGAAAGTACGAGTGCTTTGAAAAAAATGAAATACTAAAAAACTTTTGCGACTACGCGACTGTACGAGGGGAGTGGGGTACTATTACAGTATTTACGGTATGATTTCTTTTATTAGAAAGGTCAATAATCTTTCTGCAAAATAAGTTCAAAATGTCGTATTTATGGATCTTTTTTTGGGACTCAAAGTCGGGTAGTCAAAAAAGACTACTTCATGAACGGGTTTAGCCATTTTGCGCTAAGAAAACCTATCTCTTTGTTTATAGATAAAAGATAGAGCACAAAATGGTTGTTATATAGTTAAATTTCCAGAGAAATTCATTCAGTCAATTTCTTTGTAGAGGCTTTTATAGGTTTTCTATGTAAAACAAGTGTTTTCACACTCAAATTTGATTAAAAGTGAATCGAAATTGACTTAAAAAGATGCGAAATTGAACATTAAATACTTTTTATAAAGAGTTGACTCGATAATTGATGAATTCGATGACTTTATTAAGTTAATTAATGGATTAATTGATGAATTTGTTTTTGTTTTCATAAAGGAACGAAAAGACTTATTTGTGAACTTAGTTTTGTTTTTTTGAAAGCAATAGCATAATCATTTACGTACAAATGATATATTTCTCTAAAGCATTACTGTAAATGGGTTTTCTTTATGCTCACATTATCGCCAATCGTGTAATGCTTGTAGGCTGGCTCGACGACAAACCACGAGCCTTCATTGCCGGCTTTATCGAGGTAAACCTAAATATCTTTTATATTATACAGCTAATTATATAGTCTAGAACATCTAGAACATCTAAAACTATAGTATTTATAGTTTTAGATCTTGATATTATCAAAATCCTTACCTTCATAGCATTTCTTTCAAGTCTTGCGGGTGAATTCTTCTGTACTGTCAAATATTTGTCCGATTTCACATGAAGGAGCTGAAAAGATAAAGAAAATCGACAAAAATATTATCTAAATCTAAAATTATATCTAAAATTATCTATAGTAAACGAAAAATTGCGCACTTGAACCGAAATCCCGTACTGAATCACGTTGCCTAACGTTTTCCGGAACTCCAATTCGTTTTGCTCTTTTTCCTAAAAGGGGAATTGTTTTTATTTTTGAATTTTTTGATAAAATCTCTCGTTTTTCTTTATAGATTACGGTAAAATATTTAAATTTCTTTAAAATATCAAACTTTTTCAGCGGCCACCCTCAATTTGTTCATCATCTCCTCGTCGAAAGCGCTCTCGCCAGCCTGGAAAACTTTGGTCAAATGTACACAGTCAAAATGTCAAATGTAAACGCAACCTTTCTAATGCACTGATTGTGGTACTTGTTAGAAAGCTACCGTAACCCTATTTGCTTTAACTTTAATGTAAAGAAATGAAAAGAAATGAATGGGAAAGAATTTGAAATTGAATTGGGATTGAATCGATCTTTTGTTTACCGCAATTACTCTAACTACTGAGCTATCTGGCACCTGCCAAAAGAAATAAGGGGAAGAAGAAAGAAAGAAAGAAAGAAAGAAAGAAAGAAGAATTGCTTAGTAAAAGCACTAGCTAATCTCGAACTTGGCCAGATCAGAAGCAATGTTTAAGCCTAGTCCAGTGACTTTTATAGACTAGACTTTCTATGGATTTGGCTTCTAGCAGCCTATTAGCTTTACCTGGAAGAACTTTAATCAAATCAACGTATAGTTTAGAAAAACTCTTACAGCATTACACGTTTTTGATCCTATATCATTTAAAAAAAACCCCCTTCTTCTGCTTACAATCTCTTAGACATGCTCTTAGGCATCTTAGACTGCTTACAATCTCTTAGAATGCTTACAATCTCTTAGAATGCTTACAAAAAAACCCTTCTGCAAAAAAAAAACCCCTTCTTCTGCTTACAATCTCTTAGACACCAAAAAGTATAGTATTTTAGTATAGTACTTGTTTCAATTAAAGATTCAATTCCTCTACCTGAAATCTCTTCTGTTCTGTCCAACATTGTTTCTGTGCCGCATATCGATTCACCGGGCAAACTTTAAAAAGACAATCCCGAAATTTTTTCGGCGGACTTTCCGGTCTTCCCTCGTTGATTTCAACAATGCAACGATCGTCGACAAGACTAAATTTCATAAGAAAGAAAAACTTTGGTTTAATTACCCAAGCGTTGAGAGAAATCCTCGACTTCCATGCGTGTCTTCAGTATAAAGAGAGATGATGTCACCGATGTGAAGGAGAGAAGTGTTACCGTTCTCTGAATAGCAAAAATATTGAAGATTGAATATGGTAAAACGTTATTCTGCAGTCTTTTCAGCCGGTCAGTCAGCTTCTTGGCACTAAATCTTAGATCTGGTGTGGATCCGCTCGCTCGGGATCAAAAATTCCGATTTAACGATTCTGAAACGTGCCCCAAATTTCTTGCGTAGCTGCCCTGGGCGGCCAACGAGCTACAGTACTGGACAATGAAATATCAGACTAAAGAAAAATGAAATATCAGACTTCGTTGTCGGACTAAAGAATTTTTGGGGCTCCAAACGTTCCGAATATTTCCATTAGATGATCGACAACTTCAAATTGTGTTTTCCCTTGCAATGCCCGCAAAACGATGAACTTTGTGAAATGATCCTGGTAGACCATCAAAAAGTTGAATTCTCCATCGGAAACGGATTGAAGATCGATTAAATCCGTGCCTTTGACGGTTTTGAATTCCCGTTGTTGGCAATTTTCCAGTTCTTTGCCTATGCTTATGCTTATGCGATCTGCTTATGCTTATGCGACTCAAATACAGTACTGGACAATGAAATATGATATTTGAAAAACGATCGTCACTTTCGCGTGTCTGTAACTCCGTTGTCTTTGAGTTTAAACGATTAGTGTTATACATTTTCTGAAAGCTCTTTTCAAGGGCTACACAATTGGTAATATTAATATTTAGAAATACGGTAAAGACAAGGGAGTTAATATTAATATTACCATTGTGGAGCCCTTGAAAAGAGCTTTCAGAAAATGTATAACACTAATCGTTTAAAGTCAAAGACAACGGAGTTACAGACGTGCGAAAGTGACGACCGTTTTTCAAATATGATATTAGGTTGATGCAAAAGTCTTTTTCATTTTTTTCGTACTTCCGTTAAAAAGTAACAAATGCACCAATTGAATAACGGTTTATTGCATTCGAAAGGCCAATTATTTTTCTGCAAAATGACATTAAAACGAGTTTTAAATGTCTTATGTCTAGATTTTTTTTTGAGAGCCTGAAGTCGGGTAGTCAAAAAAGGCGACGGCTCGATGATGCATTTTAGACGCTTTAGCTAAGGAAACCAATCTTGATGTTAATAAGTAAAAGATAGAGCACAAAAAGTTCGATGTTTTTTTTAGATTTTCAGAGAAATTGATTCAGCCAATTTCTTTATAGAGGTTTTTATAGATTTTTATGAAAAACCCATTTTCACTCTCGAATTTGCTTGAAAGTGAACCCAAATTGACTTAAAAAGATGGGAAATTCAACAATAAACACTTTTCATTTAGAGCAAACCATAGGTTAATTGATGACTTTGTTATTTTTCAAAAGAAGTACGAAAAAAATGAAAAAGACTTTTGCATCAACCTAATATTTCATTTTCCAGTAGTGTATATGCATCAGAATTAGCTGGGCAGTTACGCAGAAAGTAAGGGCGTGTTTTAGAGTTTCAAAATCGTTTTATCTCGTTACTTTTCCACATCTTGCGCGTAATTTCAATTTTTGATAGCTTTGGCATTGTGATTAGTGTATTGCGAACGTATTTTGTATGAAAGAATCATTTACATAAGATTTCTTGATTCGTGCATAGCTTTTCGAAATTGATTTGAGCGGTGTGCTTTATCGGAAAGGGCTTTAGGTTGGGGTGCCTACGCGCATTCTCATTTAATCGTAGTTTCCCTACGCTATTCTCATTTAATCGTAGTTTCCCCTACACAATTCTCATTTAATCATAGCTTTCCCTACGCGATTCTTATTTAATCATAGCTTCCCCTACACAATTCTCATTTAATCGTAGTTTCCCCTACGCTATTCTCATTTAATCGTAGTTTCCCCTACACAATTCTCATTTAATCGTAGTTTCCCCTACGCTATTCTCTTTTAATCGTAGTTTCCCCTAAAAATCGGGTAGAAACCAACCCGAACTCTTTAAATGAATTCACTAAAAGCTAAACCTAATCTAAAAAACTTAAAGACTACCGCTCACCTCCCATACTCGTCCCCAATTGTAATCTTGACATATTCCCATAATATCCGCCGACACCCGATTGAAAAGACATCCTGAAAAATGAAGAAAAGAATAAAGGAAATTGATAAGTTTTAAAGATTAATTTGGTTATTTTGACACAAGCAGTGAGAAATTTTAATGCAGTTAGGGTTTAGAAAAAGCGAAAAAAAAAAAGTGATGATTTTGCCCACTTTGGAGTCGGGATTTCCGAGTCCATCCTGAAAAGAAAATGGAAAATATTGAATAATATTGAATAATATTCAATGAATACTCTAGTTTTATCATATTTTATACAGTACTGGACAATGAAATATGATATTTGAAAAACGATCGTCACTTTCGCGCGTCTGTAACTCCCTTTGTCTTTGAGTTTAAACTAGAGTTCGGCAAACAAAACTCCCTTGTCTTTACCGTATTTCTAAATATTAATATTACCATTGTGTAGCCCTTGAAAAGAGCTTTCAGAAAATGTATAACACTAATAGTTTAAACTAGACTTCGGAAAATAAAACTTAACCAAAACCAAAACCAAAACACCAAAACACCAAAACAAAGCAAAACTCAATTTGCATATAAATTAACATGTAAATTTAAAATGGTAAAATGCAAATTTTAATGTAAAATGCAAATTTGCCTTTCACTTTTTCTCACTCCACAAAATCTCGCGGCCGAAAAAAGGACCAAAACACGACCTCGAAATTTCGAAACAAAAAATAGCCTATGGGATAGATTTTTGGATGCTGATTTCAAATCTGCAAACAGATTTTCGCTAGCTCCTCCCAGTCGCGAGATATTCGCGACTTTTGGTCAGTTTTGGTTTTGGTTTTGGTTTTGGTTAAGTTTTGTTTTCCGAAGTCTAGTTTAAACTATTAGTGTTATACATTTTCTGAAAGCTCTTTTCAAGGGCTACACAATGGTAATATTAATATTTAGAAATACGGTAAAAAAGACAAGGGAGTTACAGAAGCGCGAAAGTGACGATCGCTTTTCAAATATCATATTTCATTGTTCAGTAGTGTAAGTATTCCGAGTCGATCCTGAAAAGAGAATGGAAAATATTGAATAATATTAAATAATAGAGAATAATATTGAATAATATTCAATGAATACTCTAGTTTTATCATATTTTTCTCATATTCTCGAATTCGTTAGCAGTCTTGTCTCTTTTTGTACTTCATTCAATTTTGTCAATTCAATTTTGTTCTTTCTTCATTTCCCTTGCGATTTCAAGTCGCTACCAATTGAGAAAATAGAATTCAATGCACTAGAAGGAGTGTGTTTACATTTCTGAGCACAAAGTGCACGTTAAATAATCATTTTTTTCATATTTTCCTTTACCACCATCGATCGTAGATCATCTTTTTGTCTCTTTTCGCTCAAATTCATCAACGAAATTGCAAATTCTACATCGATTTTTCTCTGAATTCTAATTTTGAAATCAATTTTATCAGAAATAGAAGCTTCTAGATAAAGAAAATCATGTTTAAATGGAAATTTTCTTTAAAATTTGAATTTTATAAAGAAATTTTTAAACTTTTCAACAAAGCTGTCAAAAAGTTGAGACGGGTGAAGGGAAAAATGACAAATAGAGAACGGGAAATCCTTGGAAATCTTTGGGAAAAGGTTTAAAATTCAAGAATTTACCTACTAGCCTAAATCTGGAAAACAAGTTGTTTGTTTTTTTTCAAAAAGAACATCGAATTCTTGCGCTGGAATCGGGGATTTTGAATGAGTGGCTCGCTTTGATGGGTCATAACTTTGTTTAGAGGACATATTATTGTTAACTTTTGATATCATTTTATAGAGGAGATTTGAGGCTTTCCAATGATACTAGATACAATCAGATTAAAAGAAATCGAGTCCTTTGAATTTTGAATTTTGAATTTTGAATGAGTGGCTCGCTTTGATCGGTTTCGCTTTGATGTGTGATAACTTTGTTTTGAAGAAATATTATTGTTAACTTTTGATATCATTTTATAGAGGAGATTTGAGGCTTTCGAATGATACTAGATACAATCAGATTGGAAGAAGCGAGTCCTTTGAATTTTGAATTTTGAATTTTGAATGAGTGGCTCGCTTTGATGGGTGATAACTTTGTTTAGAGGAAATATTATTGTTAACTTTTGATATCATTTTATAGAGGAGATTTGAGGCTTTCGAATGATACTAGATACAGTCAGATTAAAGGGATACAGTCAGATTAAAAGAATCGAGTCCTATTAAAATCCGACACTTTTTGGATCGGTGTCGTTTGGTTTTGAGTTTGTTTTTGATTTCCACTGGACTCGATTAACCAATCGAATTGTTTTCGGTATTGCTTGAAAGCTTAAAATATAGAAAATAGAAGAATAGAATAGAATGGAATAGAATAGAATAGAATAGAAAAATTAGATATATAACCATCTCTAGATAAAGTTAATGAGTTTTAAAGCGAGATAACTTGTTCAAAAAACGGAAAAGAGTTGCTGTTTTGCTTGAGAATTGAATGCTGAATCGAAAATACATAAAAAATATCCAATGATAACTCTTTTTGTTGCTTATTCGTTCAAAATTTTGACACCTTTTTTTAAAAAATCAATTTGGAAACGGGGAAAAAGAAGAATTGAACACAGAGAAAAGCCGACAATAAATATTTGACACATTTTATTGGAAAAGGGGAACTTGGGAGAATAATGGAATATCGATAAAGTTGGGAGAAGTTGGAAGAAGTTGTTTAGAGAATTGTTTGATAGTGAGCAAGCTTTCGAACTTTATAACTTTATAACTTTATAAGTAGTTATTGGAAAAGGGGAACTTGAGAGAATAATGGAATATTGATGAAGTTGGGAGAAGTTCTTTAGACAATTGTTTGATAGTGAGCAAGCTTTCGAACTTTATAACTTTATAAGTAGTTATTGGAAAAGAGGAACTTGAGAGAATAATGGAATATCGATAAAGTTGGGGGAAGTTCTTTAGACAATTGTTTGATAGTCAGCAAGCTTTTGAACTTTATAACTTTATAACTTTATAAGTAGTTATTGGAAAAGGGGAACTTGAGAGAATAATGGAATATCGATAAAGTTGGGGGAAGTTCTTTAGACAATTGTTTGATAGTCAGCAAGCTTTTGAACTTTATAACTTTATAACTTTATAACTTTATAACTTTCTAAGTTAAAGCTTTAAATGCTAGCAATTTCCACTGTTCAAGTGAGAAACTTTGTGCAATTTGTGCTCTGAAAAAAATCCACTCTTTCTGGCGCACTTAGGGAAAACTATGAGCACAGAATCACAGCAGAGCGCAGCACAGAGCAGAGCAGAGCACAGAGCACAGCATCTAAGAGCACAGCATCTAAGGGCACAGAATACAAGAGTTTGCTCCACCAGATAGGATATGTTTGCAAAAAAATAGAGCACAAAGAACAAGGTTGCTGCTAAAGAAGCTTTAATATTTACGTGTCTCTCCTTTTTTTCACCTCAAATCAATCGATTCTCAATCTTTCCAAGCGGCTTATGATTTTTTTTCAAAAGAGAATCTTTGCATTGAATTCTTTTTCTTTTTCTTTAAATCCTAAGCCTCTTTTTTTTGATGTGAAAGGGAGGAAAAAAGAGGAGAGAAAGATGATAAGATACTACTGCAAACAATATTCTTTTCATGTAAAAGAAAGAAAGAAAAGAATTCGATTCAACATCCCAAGAAAATAATATAGAATGAAACCGCACGCAAAGTGAGACATAAAATAGAAAAACTGAACTTTAAACTGATCTAAACGTAAAGCATTAAGAAAAAGAATTATTGAAAATCGGCGAAAATCGACAAAAATCAACGAAAATCGACTTTTCTTTAACCACTTTTCAATCACTTTTTTCTAAGCGCTGATTAATGCTTAAGATATGTGCTATATCTCAAAAAATCACCCATTTTCTGGACTTTAATTTGATACCTAAATGCGCAGAAGCAAATGTCTGTGCGTCGAGATATGAGCGGTTCTTTGTGTGTAAAGTAGCAAAAAAAAGCCGATTTTCCCCACTTTTCAATCACTTTTTTCTAAGCGCTGATTAATGCTTAAGATATGTGTTATATCTCAAAAAATCACCCATTTTCTCTACTTTAATTTGATACCTAAGCGCGCCGAAACTAAAGTACTAATGTCGAGATATGAGGGTTTGTTTAAGAGTAAGCTTCGACGCTTCTATAGAGGCTTTTCGTTTTGTACGGTAAATTTATGCATTATCATTGATTTAATTATTATTTAATTATTATGATTTAAGCAAACTTTTGAATCGATTTGAAAAGATTTGAAATTTTATGAATTACTCAAATACGAGACAAGACTGCTAAGCGATTTGTAGATTGTCGACACGTTTGTTTTGTCTTTTTTTTGTCTAAACCATTCTCTCACCTGATCAATTTTCGCTTTTCTTTCTTCAGAGGAAACGATCAGAGAAAATAATTTTCCGAAAGCATTCGCAAATCTGAAAATATGATGTTTACAATGATTAAAAATAAAGAAAGAAAAGAAAGAAAGAAAGAAAAGAAAGAAAAGAAAGGAAAAAAAGAAAGAAAAGAAAATAAAGAAAAGATTTTTATAAAAATTTTGATATAAATATGATTGATTGAGGATATAAAAGGTGAAGAAAATTGGAAAATTTCGTAAAAAAAAAAAGCTGTTGAATCGATAGAGAAATAAAATGAAATCAATTTTATTAGGTGTGTGAAAAAGTAATCCACGTTTTTAACGTTTAAATATAAAAGACCATAAGTTTCGTTAAAATAATTTTTATTCAACGAAGTAATCACCATTCGAAAGAATAACCTTTTTGCCAACGTTCTACAAGTAAAGACATTCCCCGATAATAAAAATCTTGATCCTTAGAGGCGAAGAAAAGATCAACCTCGATTTTGACAACTTCTTCGGAATTGAACCGTTTATTGGCCAAAAAGTTAGACAGAGACAAAAATAAATATTGGGTTGATGCATAATTATCCGGACTTCTTTTTGCGTGCTTGTATCTTTTTTGTTTTGAAAGCTTTTTGACTATTTCTTTTTTTAAAATATTCGTTATTCTTTAGTGAACAAAATGCGTGTCGACAATCATATCCATCTTCGCCATATCATGCTCTACCACTTCGAAAAGGGATGGTCTGCCGCAGAGTCGTTTCGCGATCTCAAAGAACTGGAGAAGCCCCAACGGACTACCACGTCAATCGATCGCTCAAAAATTGGCAAACAAATAAGA